GGCGGCCTTTTTCCCTTATTTTTTTTTTATCGTAGGTTTTTTAACCCCGAGGATTTGCTTTTATGTTTTTTTTTATCGTAAGGGTTACTCAGAGGGGGCCCCTTTTCTTTTTCCTTTTTTTTAAAAAAGAAATAGGCAATTTTTCAATTTAAATTTTTTTTAAATTTTTTTAAAAAAGTAAAAATTTTTTCCCCTCCTACTTTTCAAAACCCCTTTAAACGTTTTTACAAAAATTTTTTTTTTTTTGGGCCCCCTCTCCGTTTTTTTTTATTAAGAAAATTGGGGTCCAAATATAGGGGTCCCCGGAGAGGGGTTTTGGGGGGGGGGAAACCTGGGGTTTACCCCCCTTCTAAACTCTGTAAAAAACTTTTCATTAGTTTCTTTTTTGGGGCTTTTGGGGGGGCGCCCGGGGGGGGGGGTAAATGCTCAAAATTTCCAAAACCCCCCTGTCCCCCTCCTTGGTCAAATTTCGGACCCAATTGTTTTTAAGTTTTTTTAAACCGATTTTTTTTGGTTAACTTTTTTACAAAAATTTACAATTAGCGTTACCCCCAAAAATTTTTTAAATCCAAAAACCCCTTGTTTTATAATTTTTAAATTTTTCCCAACCAGGGGGGGACCGTTTTCCCCAAAAATACTTTTAGCCCTAAACATTTTTAAATTTTTTTTTTAAAACCTCAATTTTATTACTATTTTTAAAAAACTTACGAATTTCTTTTTTTTTAGGAAAATCTCTTTTCCCCAAAAAACCAGTGGGACCCCAATTTTTTCCCACATTTTTTCCTTTTTCCATCTAAATTTAATTCCCCCTTTCTTTTTTTTCCCCCTTTCACCCCGGGGCTTTGCCCCTACTTTTAAAAATCAATTTGGGGGGAGCATTTCTTTTTTTTTTTTGGGGATTTTTTAAACGGACCCTTCCCTTTTCCCTTTTTTTAAAATTTTTTACTTAATAAAAAATTAGACGGGCAACTTTTATTTTTTTAAACAAATTTAATTTTCCCGGGTTTTTTTTGGTCTCTAAAAAACCAGGGGGGACCCAAAAATTTTTCTGGGTCCCAAGTTTCCCCCCCACCCCAAACCTTTTCCGTACTCAATTTTTTTTCCCTTTAAGTTTTGGGGTTGACAAGAAAAAATTTTTGGGGAAAACTTTTTGTTTTTAAACCCATGATGGAAAAATCGAACAAGGGCCCCCCAAATTCGGGGAAAAAGGGGAGGCCCCGGCGGAGGAGAAAAGTGTGGGCTTTTTTTAAGGGGGCCCTTTTCGTTCCTGATACCCCAGATTTTTTAAAAAAAAAGCTATCATTCGGGGGGCCCCTTTTCAGCACAAGGGCCCCCCTTTCAGCCCTCAACCACTTTTTAAAAGTGACCCCCGGGGAGCAGTAGCAATATGCGATCTGATACCCCCCCACTGGGTTCCCTAGGGGCACCCCCCAAAGGGGGCAAGGGGGGGCCCCCCCCCCCTCCCCCCCCCCAATAAGTGGGTTCTTGGTGTTTCCCGCTGGAGCACATTCCCCAGGTTTTTTGGGGCAAACCCAATTTTTTTTTTTTACCGGCCCAGGGGTACTTTTTTTTTTCGGGGTTTTTTAACCACCCAAAAAAGGCCCCCCTTTCATTCTCTGGTGGGCCCCCCCAAAAACCAGGGCCCCCCCCCCTTCTTAAAAAAAAGATTTTAGAAAAAACATAGAAAAAATTTTTGGGGGGACAAATATCCCCCCTATTTTTTCCATTTTGGCCCCTTTTCCCTTAAAGGTCGTTGATGGGGGGACAAAATTTTTACTTTGACTACAAGATATATTTCCGCCTCTCACAATTTTTCACAGAACAAAACCCCCCGGGATAAGGGCCCCTGAAGCCGGCGGGGAACTCCCCCCCCTTTTTTTTAAAATCAATATTTTTCCAAAATTTTTGGGGTCCCATAGTGTTCCCCCCACTGCGCAAAACCTTTTGGGATGACCCCGGCCCCCAAGTGGGGGGAAAATGTGCCCCCAAAGAAAAGGGTGGGGGGTTTTTATGTGCGATGGGAGGGAAAAGGGGGACCGGGGGGGTTTCTCCTAAAACCGTTTTTAGCCCCCCCTTTCTGTGTCCCCCCCTCTTCCCCCCCACCGCGAAAATCCCCCATCTTTTTTCTCCCTTCAAAGAGGAGAAACCCCCCCGGGGGATTTTTGAAGATTAAATTTTTAAAAGATATTCAGTTTTTCCCCCTCGCTTTTTTTAAAACCTAAGGGGAAAAAACCTCCCTAAAATCTCCTTACACCAAAAACCCCCCAGCTTACCGGGGGCCTTTCCCCCCGATCAAGGATAAACGTTTTGATCCCCTGTTATGTCCCTTTCCCAGAAGAAGGGGGGGCCCTACTCTTTTTTCGCGGTGGTTTAAAAACCCTTTATATTAAAAGTTTGTTAAAAAAATTTTGTTTAATATTAAATTATTCTTTTTAATTTAATTTTAATAAAGGTGGGCCCCCCTTTTTTGGGGTACCCCCCTTTTAAGGTTCACCCACCCCCCCAAAATCCATGTCTTTTCCCCAAAATTTTTCCAGTTTTCCCCCCCCCTTCTACTCAAACTTATCACCCCAAGGGGGTTTTTTTTAAATTAAAATTATTTTTTTTTTCAAATTAAAAATTTTTCCGAGAGGGGAGGGTTTGGCTTAACTTCATATGCAGTAGGGGCAATGTCTGAAAAAAAACAAAGGGAAAAATCGCCCCCCCCAAATTCCCCCCCCAACCCTGAAAAAACCGTGGGACTTTTTAAAATTTTAAAACTAGGCGTTTTGATTTAAAAAATTGGGGTTTTAAAAATTTTTTTCAGACAAAAAATAATTGAGAATTTTTATCTTTTTTGGTTTTTTTTTAAAAACCCCAAACTTTTTTTTGACGATTCCGATTTGAAAATTTATTTTTTAAAAATCTTTTTTTTTTTTTTTGTGGTTTTTAACGGATAAGGGGGATTTTTTTGAAAAAATGAAAATATTGGAAAATTTATGGAGTGAAAAATTTTTTTTTGAAAAAAGCTTCAAAAGTGAAAAAAAATTTTTGTTGAACAAGAACTAAAAAAAACTGGGGGACCCAATAAAATTGCATCAGGAAAAAAAAACAAAAAATATGAAAACCCCAAATACCTTTTTTTTTTAAGAGAAAAATAAACCCCCCCACTTTTTTGACGTTTTCTCCCCTTTTTTTAAATTCCCTATTTTTTTGCTTCCAAAAGGGGTGGGGTCCTTCCAAAAAAATTTTTGGAAAACAGTTTCAGGGTTTCCTTTTAACTTGGGGCCCGGGGTCCCCCCCCGAACAAAATAAAAAATTTTTTTTATTTTCAGATTTTGAAAAATTTTTTTTTTCGATAAAAACCCAAACCCCTTTTTTTTTTTTTGCTGAATAAACCCCCTTCCCTCAGGGGGAAAATCCCCAAAAATATAAAAATATAGAAAGTTTGGGGTTTTTGAAAAAAGCTCAAAAGAAAAAAAAAAGTGACCTGAAAAAAAATAAAAAAAAACTCCTTCCCAAAAAAACAAAATGATAATTATAACTTTTGGGGTAAATTTTGCCGTAAAACCTTAAAATCGCAACATTTTTTTAAAACCCCCATACCCCCTTTAAATGAGCGAATTTAAAATTTTGCATCAAGAAACTCCTAATTCGGTACAAAATTTTTTCCTCCGCTTTTCCCGGTAAATTTTGGCCCCCCGGGGATTTTAAAACAGTTAAAATTTTTTTAGAAAAGAGTAATTTTTTTAAAGAAAGCACTTAAAGTTTTTAAAAAAAAGGGTTTGCTTTTGCTTTTCAAAAAATGACAAAAGGTCCCCACAAACATTGCCCCAAAAAAATACTTTATTTTTTACGCTGGAACGGGGGGGACTGGGGGTTCCCTTTTTTTCTTTATGCTTTAGTTTTTTTTTTTGGGGCCCCTAAAAGTCTGCAAACAAAATCGAAAAGTTTTTTTTGATTTTTTTGGTCCCCCCTTTTTCCCCTGGGACATTTTTTTTGAGTGCTGGAAAAAATCAGGGGTAAGTTTTAAAAAAAAGGGGGGGGGGCCCGTCCCGGGGGTTCTATTCCACTCTGATTTCCCCTTTGCCATTTTCCCTAAAAATCAATTTACTATACAAGTAGTGATTCCCAACTACCGACGGATCACGATTCAATATAGGCAGATGCCGAGCTAACAACAAAAGAGAGTTAATTTGAATGAGGTACCGTGGAAGGAGTGCTCTTGTGGCGTGACCTGCACTTCACAGTTCCCCTGTGTAACACTGTCAGGAACCTACTCTCCTTTTGGTAAACACTTAGACCCCACACGCAGTGGTACCATTCACACTGACTATGATGCGCTAAGGAAAGACTGTTTTGTCATTCCAAACTGTAAGTCTGAACCTGCTTTAAATCAGATAGCAGTGGCAGAACATGTCAGAGAGTTTTACTGGACCTCAAGAATACAATTTCACTGTTGGGCGCTGGGGGACAACTTCCTCACGGCCAATGACTATTCCTCGAAGAGAGCAAGTTTGGCACTGTTTCTCCCCCTGTTATTCTTCATTATCGGGATAATCTTTCTAATGGGATCTTCGAAGAAATTTCGTGGGCTTTGTGACACATGCTGTGATGTGGTTACGAGGAGGTGCTGTCACGTGGTTAGAACGTGTTTTAGACGATGTTGTGATAGTTGTAAAGGTCAGGCAGATCAGGAGGACGGGATGTTCCGAAGTAGAGTATCCGATAGTGGGAATCCTCTACCTTCAGGTCATCTGGCATCTTTCCCCGGCCAAACGGCACCCTCAAACCAATCTCCCCCAATATATATTGAGGATGAAGCGCCGCCTCCCTACAGTGCTCAGTGAGTAAATCCACCAAGATATCTTAAGATCGACCCAGTGTAACAGTGAACAGACCTTCTAAAGAATAAGACACTTACATAACACAGACTTAGTTAACTAATCATGTTGTTGGGAGACGACAAATGACAAATATTGTACTTTGGGGAAAGATAACACAATACCAAGAAGACAAACCTTTGTGACTTCCGCCAGAACTTTCTTGATGTTCATTCTGATAACCTTATCCGTGAAGGGTTTCGTGATGATTTTGATGAAATCTTGGTTTTCTCCAGAAGATTTGCCCACACCTTTCACTATAATCTCGCTGAGAAACCTTATCGGATGGAAGAGAGCTTCCAATGGGAGGAACACTGCAACACACAGCCAGTTGAAGCAGTCGTGAACTGGAAATTGTTGAGCGTTATTAATTGATTATTTGTAATTTCATCATAGTACCAAATACCAATTGCGTATTCTGAATAAACTTCAAACTTTTAGTCAATAAAGAATTGTATTTAATGATCTAAACTTTGTACCTGTCGCTCCTGCAAAGGATCTACGGAATTGTTTCCTGTCCATTGATTGTCCCATACTGACAATTGTATTCGTCACTGTTGTCCCAATGTTTGCCCCCATGATTATGTTTATTGCTGGAGTCAACTCCAATACTGCCAAACATTATCGGTGAACTTCAAAACAAGATTCGGACTACTTCTATGAAATCAAACATTGATGTTTTAAAACCGAAACAAAATTTACAAACAGCGTTAATAGTTGAACAAAATTGATCAAACTCTAACTGTCTAAGTGAATACAGTGTTGAATGAAGCTCAATACTGACACCAATCATAGCACCGGTAAAGGTCGAGGAGCTCTGAAACGATACCGTCACGTTCATTTTCACATTCACTCTCACTCTCATACTCTTTCACTTTTACTTACTGCCGGCGGCGATCATAGCGACTATGATACTAGTAGAAGTAGAGGAGCTCTGAACAAGTACTGTCACCAGAACACCCAACATTAGTCCAACTATAGGGTTACTCATGATTGAGCCCTGGGAAAATGCCTGGAGGATACAGGTCGGTTAATAACAGCATATAGCTAAAATCTGATATTACCAATACCATGAACCATGGGAATTGCAGCAATATGTATTGATATGATTCCATGGTTTGATTCACGACAAACCGATAAATCCTCTAATTTTACTTACAGCCCCAGCAGATTTGCCCCCGACTAACTGGAACGCAGCAGAAAGGAATGTTAGAGAGTTAATAAAGAGGTAGATACACAGGAATGCAAACAGGATCCTCCCTATAATCCACAAAACTGAGCCAATTCTTTGTAATTCCGTCTTTTCTGAAGTATGTAATTGGGTATATTGCGATAACCACAGCATATAAACTAGTGGTGTATATAATGATGTGGTCAATGGTTATCACCACGTCAGTAAAATTCTAGAAATTTCATAATTTTTTGCCAGGTCTTTAACGATTTGGAATTTGATATCTCGCAGGTCAAATAACATAATTTAAACTGAAGAGCAAAGATAATTTAAAGCCATTTAAATTTAATATAAAAACACGGATCGACTGGTTGTAGCCAAAGGGGTTGATTGACTGTAATCGCCTAATACAGTAATATTATATAGCATGCTTGAGAGAATTAGACAAGCTGTGATTTCTGTTAAAACAGTATTAAACCAAAGTATCCTGAACTGTATAATTATTCCCTGAAATATTATAACAGCAAGATTGTCACGTACCAGACCAGGGTACATACTCCACCTCCTCCTCTAGATCCATGGTAACATCCCAGATATCCTCCTTGGTGCTCCTCCTCCTCTTCCCCAACGACATTCTCCTATCCTCCGGGTCTCCCATTCGTACGTAGCTCTGACGTCGTGTCGTTACTACTGCGTCTGCGTCTGCAGTCGGCCGTTTTACTTCACTTGTAACCTTGCTGTGAGATTGGGTGGTACAGAAAGGGGAAGTGGAGAAATGTTGATAAGGAAAAGATAACGGAGATAACAGTTCATATCTCTCAAAGTGACGTCACTGCTTTTTCTCTTAGAAATATTATGTACCGCAATTTGGTACAACTTAATCTGTAACTTAATTAAGTTTCAATCAAGTCAGGGATTTTAAACTGCCCCCTTCTTGACCAAATTTAAATATAGATATAGTCTATAGATTGATAAAAATATATATATCGATAAATATAGACGGGCTAGAAGTTGAATCACCATATTTTGATTTTTGAAAATGCCTAGAGCCAAAACGAAGCATTTTTAGCAATAAACGACAAAACAGATAAAGGATCATCGTTTTGTTTTATAGTTCAAAAAATTTGAGATTTGCCGTCGTTCTGGCGTGGAAAACTTAATTAAAATTACAAAGTTCGAGGTAAGTTTATTAAGCTCGAATAAACATTGAGGAATAACACACCCAGCATATGTTTCTCTAAATTTCTACCTCAAATTACGGATCTGATGTTATGGTATGTTATGTTATCAAAAGTTGGAATTAAACAACCGTGAGAATACTGTTTTTTGTTTTTAATTCTGTAAATCCCCCAACATAACAATATTATGTTTTATTTCAATTCCATACAATTTGGGTTTTGGTGACATCATCATTATGAGCCTCATGTATAAAACATATATAATATATATACTTACGGTGGTTGCTGAGAGGCAGTCTGTCCACATTCTAGGTCACTGAAGGCAGGGTTGATGACGACACTCCCGTTCCTACTTCCTCTATGATCTGATTCCACCATTACCTCGCGGTTCTGCTGCTCTAGATCTAGCTCGAGGATAACTTTACTGAAATTCTGAGCTTTTTGATTCTTGTTCTTAATCTTGTTGTGAGAATCTGAATGGAGCTTATGTCGAGCTATGGGGTAGTGATTGTTTATGTTAGCAGAGTAAGCCCCAAAAAAAGAGAATTTGAAAGAGTGTAATGTCACATGGTCATGGTAATGCGATATCAAGTACTGATTGGATAAAATAACAAACTACAGAAGGATTAACGACCTTCCAGAAAGTTGTTGACTGATAGTGATAACATAATAAACCACACGATCCTAACAAATCAAGATGTACAGTGAGCACCAAATACTTTCTAAAAAGATAAGGGTTCATGCGGTCATGGCCAGGTTAAAGCGGCCGTGATAAGCTGCAGTTTATTATATCAGTATAAATTGCTGCTGGGCAAGTAGGTTAATATTTAAATCACAGCCGGTATCACCAACTTTATCGTCTAAAGGAACATTACAGTGGTACTGGAACTTCGGACAAAAAGGGCGGTAAGAATAGGCACTCTCCTAGTTCTATTGCATGCCATGGTCTGATTCACAGCAGGTCACATCGTTTTAAATCAGACAGTCATAATTGCATACTGATGCGAAAGTTACTCATTTTAATGAAATTACTTTGGTTACTGACCAGTTGTATAATTCAATATTGTCGCTGCACATGAACCTGTCCCACCCTTAATGCTCAGACTGAGTTAACACATTGTATCGGGATTTATTATCAGATTCCCACGATGTAAACTCCATCAAATACTTAGTGTAATGACCCAATTTTACAAGTGATCACATCTAGAGGTCACGAACGACTCACAAATTGAAATTTAAAAGTGTGCCACAATGACTTTAATGACAAAAGAACCGGGAAAATGCGTGTTAAAATTTCCTAGACCGTAGATAAGGTAACGAGATATAAGTTAACTAAATTTAAGATTTAAAGTTTATTCTAAAAACGATGCGCTGTTTTGGGTCTGTCGTTGGTCTTAATGTACAGTGTCGTCCAATTCATCAATATTAGATATGCATTGAACAAGAAACCACATCAGTCAACACCACATTAATTTAGAAATGTCTTAGAAACAACATGAACATAAATTAATATTATTGTGACTTTAGACACTTCAGCGGAACATACTTTTGAGTTTTGGGGAGCATGCTACATTGCCATTTTTGTCAGATATATGATGAAAACGAAATATTTTAAGATTTTTCATAAGCAAACATTTTCCATCGACAACTCTTATAGTTATACTTATATAAGCGAGAATGGTCATTTGCGATCTTCGTGACAAAGAACTTTTTTATCCTAGCCATCGATGGTGAAAGTGGAAAAAACTATGATCGCCATTGTTAGATGGCAAAAGTATCACCATTTGCATTGATTTGCCATCTAACTCTAAGATGAGAAGTATACGTACGGTACCCGGCTTAAAATACGTACGGTACAACTTTTTCTAAAGGCACGTACCGTACCTTTCCTCTTACGGTACAAAAATGGGAAACTTTTTAATTTTGTATTTCATCAAAGAAATATGAGTGACGAACGTATAATACTGCATAAAACTAATAGCTTATTTCGTAATCTTGCTGTAGCATGTAGACTGCCAGCGTAATGGCAGTTAAAATTAAATTTTAAATAATTTTGGATCAGAGTAAAAATTTCAGAACAGCAGACAATTTTTAACTCGCCGCGAATTTTGTGGCTTTTGTACCTTCAGTTTTAAAGGTACGTACCGTACGTACGTCTCTTCTTAGTTTGCCATGATATTCGGATTCCCAACTTAATCGCGAATGGCAATGATCCTTTGTCTTTCAAATAAATTTGTCAACACATTTGATAATAGTATTAGTAGACTTTTAATTTTACTTTAAATCAGATAACGTCAAGTTTTGAATTTGAAAATAAATAAAACAATCGATTCGGTAAACTGCATTTTTGCAGGACACGTTAGCCTTCAATAGCATTGACAAAGTCAACAATGACAATTTAAATCTAAAATCTAGGTCTAAAACAGAATACTAAATATAATCTTAGATGTGATAGAAACTAAAAACACATGGACCTAAATGCTATCTTTAAAACAGCCTGCCTTATCGAGTTATGGTGAATCAAAGGAGAGGTTCCTCTGGAGCTAGACTGTATCATTTTACCACAGCTGGTGCGAATAAATCAGCTTTAAGACAAAGGAACATATACTGAAATGAGGTAGATGAAGTGCCGCAGTTGCAACGTGACTGGGGTTTCATGCTAAGTTCACAAATAAAGGACGTGTTCAGTTGTAGAGTTTTGCAGAGGATATTATGTACAGGATTGCAGGCAGACGTCTACTTTTGATAACAATGTAACGTAAAGTAAACCAGCTGTTAAGTTTTACCATTGAAATAAAATGCCTCCGTAAATATTAATGCGATTAAAGTAAGGTATTCATATTTCACAAGGACGTGCTAGATGCGCATATAACCGGGATCACTGAACCAGGTTTATAGAAAACGGAACTCGATCTGAAGTGCGTGATGCTCAGAACTGTTGCTGGTCCCTTAAAATAGTTGGAAGGACCATGTGCTAAGAACCAAACCATGAATCCGAATCAAAACTGTATGTGTGTCTTGATTGGATCAGAGACCATTCAATTTCTTCATAATCTCCGGGAAAGAAGCTGGTTTAATTGAGTTATCTACGGTAGAGTGACCGCACCAAATTATATTACCCGCAATGTGGTTGTGGTTCACCTGCACTTCTGCAAAAATGTTACGAGACTCAACACAATGATCAAAGTTCTCAAATTGCACAGTTTCTCCAAATCTCATGGTAAGATAAAAGGTTCTGAACTCCGGGCTGATCAATTGTACAGTTCTCTATATCTACAGTTACTGGGCGGCGCTCAGCCTGTCATTCCGCCGAATCTCTATTGTTTATCAACATAATAGCCTGGGGTCCCCAGGTAATATCTACAGCAGACCTACGCTGGGCTTTGTCTCGTGCAATTACTACTCTTTTAGGTAAATACAAATGACATAATGATACATCTTTATAAATCAATTACTGTCAGTCTTAATTTGAGATCTGCCACATTTTGTGCAGTTGTCATTTCATTGTCTGACAGCTTTAAATATTTACAAACCTAAAATAAAATCTAACGTAGTAAACTGACCTAACATTACTTTTAAATTAAAAACAAGTTAAGAGTTAAATTTATCATTGCAATTGTATCTTATCTCTAAAAAACGTCACCATGTCGAGAGATCCCCGTTTACTGACGGTAGAAAACAGCAGATCATGGTGAATAAATATAATGCCGAATCTTAACATATTTTGTATCAACATTAAAATTTAAATAACAGCTCATATTAGAACTAAAGAACACGTTATGTTGTAATTTACAAAAATAAGTAGTGGTCGGTTGAGCATTGGGATGGAAGGGTGTTTGGATCTGTACCAATATAAATGCACGTTTGAAACTAAAATACTAAAACAGCGTTTAATTTAATCTCATCCGCAAAGTTTATCCTCTACAGCTTCTCAAATATCCACGTTCTTTAATGAAATCTATGACTAATATACAAAATACCCAATAGTTTATGATACAAATAAGTATATATAATGGTTTTTGATACGAGAAGGTAAAACAAGTTCAAATTCTGTTCAGAGCGATCATTCAATCCATAAATTGAAGCTCCAAAATAAAATCATTAATAGCGTTTCTAATGTTTACGCTGATTTCATAATTATAGTGTTTAATGTTTATGCATGGTGGAATTTACAAATTCGTTCCAATCGTGAGGCGAAGTGTCAGGTAATAGTATATAATTATATATGGAGAGTGGAGACGTAGACGAATTAAGTCACTGTTAGTGGAAGAGATTTTTGATGTCCTGCATTGCTTCTTCGATGTCAGCCGCAAACTTTCTTGAATTCTGAAAATAAAACAGAAAATAAAATTCTAAAATAACTCAGCGTTTCTTATTCCAACTGAGGAATTAAATGAACGATCCATACTAAACTGATGTCTGATACCTTACTCGGGATTATTACGACGGGTTTATTAACGACCGGTTAAAATATGGTTCGGGAAAAATATGGCGAAATTGCTCAAAACCCACCACATTTTCCCGGTCGCCATTTTACCGGTGTCCAACCTTTCAATTTTAGATTCAAAAATTTTGTCTCAGATGTAAATTTCCTTATTAGAGATAAGCAAGTTTAGAAATTTTCGCATTGCTAAAACTTGTGAAACAAGTCGAATTATCAATAATTGTTGAAAGTAGACAGAAATAATGACTCGTGGTTAGTCAAACTAGATGGAAAATAATTTTTAACATTTGAAGCGTAACAACCAGATCGATATTAAGATAAAGGGAGAGCTGTTTAGTCTTCCAATAAGTTGTAATCATCTTCGTTATCTTCATCTGGATCATCCCTTTCATCAGTTTTAATTAATTCAAGTTTTAATTTAACTGTTACTTTTACTTTGAGTCCTATTTCATTATGTAGAGATAGTCAATACCTAAGAAATTAAAAATTGGCCTATTTAAATCAAATTTGACAATAAGGATATATGACAAGAATTGGGCAAAAAGGTGAATTTTTTGCAATTTTAGCCAAATGAAGTCGAAAAACCTACAACAAGTGTCCCAATAGTCTTCTTTAGTGAATATAAGACAACGATTAAAATATGAGCACCCATACCCCTTGGGAACCCTAAAAGCTGAGTAGGCGGGTTTATTAACGACCGGTGAAAATGTGGTTCGGGAAAAATATGGCGAAATTACCCTAAACCCACCACTTTATCCCGGTCATAATAATCCCGAGTAAGGTAGTTAAATTCAAACTGACCGTGTTAGGACAAGCTTTTTTAGAGGAGACGTGAAAGAAGATGTTATCTTCTCCAGCAATGATGTAGGAGACTCCGTAACCGTCATCAGCTACAGGACCAAACCCTCCTCCGGCGGATATCCTGGGAGAATACAGTGGAATGTTTTTATTTATCGGGCGGTAAAACCCCCCGGCACCCCCCCCCCCTCCCCGGCCAATGATCATACTGAATACTGATTTTTTAATTCTAGTGAGTGTTATTAGAGAGTTTTATTAGAGAGTGTTTGGTTACCTGTCCGGGAATTTGCGGAGATCAGTGTGGGTTCCCTGACCGTAGGGGGTCTGACTTGTGCTCAACCTCCAGGGTTCACTCAATACTTCCTGAGAATAGTATCAGTTTGAAGATATTTGACTTTTGTCCAGATAATATATTCAGTGGTATTTACATATCCACCTGTAATCATTAATCAATTACTCTTTATCTTTTCAAAATTAACATTCCACACCATCACCTTATATTATTAGGGAAGTCGTTAATTAATGAACCTTATCAAAGTAAAGAATACCGTTTTATCGTACATTTATCTCATTGATTAATTATACCTGAAGGAAGGGAGATTCTTCGCCGAGGAACTTGCTCACAATGTAAAGACAGAACATGTGCCGATCAACTCCTGGCAAGTGGGAAGTTAACAAGAGCACGTCACGTGACTAGATCACATGTGATAAGAAAGTTGAAACAGTGATTGAACAATTTATCATGATGCGATCATTTTCATAGCTTATGATTTCTATGTCCTCTTTAAGAAGTGAAAATATAATATTTGAAGAGTTACCTTTAAGAAGTAAAAATAAAGATAATATTTGTTACCTTTAAGAAGTGAAAATAAAGATAATATTTGTTACCTTTAAGAAGTAAAAATAAAGATAATATTTGTTACCTTTAAGAAGTGAAAATAAAGATAATATTTGTTACCTTTGCCACTCATACTCTCACGGAAAAGGTCAGTGTGTCTGTTGACTGCTGTTTTTAGTAATGCTTTACATTCGTCTTTCTGAGATGTCGATACAATCTAAATCGTGTTTAGTGACACAACTTTGAGAAATTTAATAACATTAATGCATCGATTTCTTCTCGATCGAGGGTCGCCCAGAAAGAATTTAAGACATTAGTTGCATTATTAGTAGAAGAATGGGGGTTAAAATTGATTCTGAACCGTTTACCAAATATTTCCGACCCCTAGAGGTATAAAGCAACATTTCCAGCAAACAAGAAATGTTAAATGACTCACAGGTTCTTTCTCAATGACAGCCCTGGCAAACGCGCAGGCCTCTGAAGTACAGGACCGCACTGTTTCTGTTCTACCGGATCTAAACAGCCTCGTCATTGAACTCTCGTATGTGAGACAGAACTTATCTTGATTCTGTGGAATACCGGGGTTTATTACCGGGGTTTATATACAACACTTTCAACAGAATACCGGGGTTTATATACCACACTTTCAACATTATATGAAAACGTACAAGAATATTCTCGAACATCAACGTATAATAATTCATGGAATTTATAAGAATTATTTACTTTGTAGTGAGCAAGTTGCAGTGCTATCTGGATGTAAGCATCAGGACTGATTTTACAGGTCTTGATAAAGCCTTTCCCGTAGTTGTCGTGTTTCATGATATGTAGATCCAGGTCTGCCTTCATATCATCAGCTACACCTCGCGCTACTTCTACCTGATCTACTGCCTGGATCATAGTGAGGATTAGAACAACTGTGGTAACGAGAAATAAGGGATTCAGTAGAAGCCATCTGGATACATTTGTCTAGACTCACGTTTGATAGGTCACAAGAGCGTTAATATCATAATAGTAAAGATAATAGTAATATTATAATAGTAAAGAGCAGTAATACTATTACACGAGTCTACAGACAACAGATGTTAACATCAAGTGGAATCAATCAGGCGTTGGTTATCACATTGTTCAATTCTACTGATAAATCATAATTTATTTATCAAGACAATACAATTTATTGGTTCATGACGTCATTAAACCAATTACAGCGACAAAATAATAGCAACTCCCCCACATCAATCATAACGTCCTATAACGGCAATTTGCTCAGAGAGTTACAAGCCAGGTCTAGGTACTGGCATGGTGACGTCACTGGCATTGTGACGTCACTAAACCACTAGAATTAAACAAACGAACCTCTGCAGGAATATCCCATCTGAGTCTCCTAGGAGGGGAGAGGATGGTGTCGTCACGTGGTTGTCCTCTACAGTTACCATTAGCGTCGTAGCCAAGCTCTATGTCCCAGTTAAAACACTCTTCTGCTAAATGGGAGATGATTGTAGCGTCCGCCCACGAGTGCTCAGCGTTCATCCCAATCTGAGGCGGAAATTATAATTATGGTAATACTATTTAGTGATAAACTCATGGAGCAACATTTTGAATTATATGATGCTTATTTTATCAGATTTTCGGGATGATGTATACTTTGTATAGGAACGGTACATACTACATAGTATCGCGCACACTATTACCACTACTTAATACTTAGTAAACAAAACCATTATATTAGCAGTTAAAAGTTTCTCGGTTACCCTGACTCAATAAAACTGTACTAGAACATTCCAATCATAAAGTGAAAGTGAAAGTGAATCGTACCTTTCCGTTCTTGAAGACGACGACGTTGAAGCTCTTATCGTACCAGATATGGTCCCCACACAACATTCCTTTAGCGTAGTCATCCAGCATATCTGGGTTTTCCTTGTCATACCCCGGCTCACTGTCATCAAGGATGGCGACAAACAGCGACTGCGGGGAAAAGAGGTCAGATTATAGCTAATTTGTTATCTATCTCTAAAAGTTTTCACTTATGTTGCTATTAATTAAAACTTTTTTGTATCGTAGTCTGACGCCCAACCCCCCCCCCCCCCCCCCTTCCTCAATCCTCATGGGACTCCCCCGGCCCCCACAGATCTCCCACCTGCTCTATGAGATGAAGAGAGTGTCTGTTTGTTCCCTTGCTGAAGAAGGTCTCTCTGAAAGAGGCCCACTTGCTCCTCTCGCCAGACGTCATCGCCGACAGATCTTCCTCTCCGGGTGATGCAACGTCTGTTTTACTTGCTTCCTGAAAAAAGTGTAAAGTTTCAATGATAACTTCATTTTAGCTTTTTATAAAAATCAAAACTTGTTGTCAAGTCCACTTCTCTTGAATACCCAATCACTCTTGCTAACGATATAAACAAAATGCTTGATTTTTTACTCCACTTTGCATCATTTAACATGTAGGGTGATCCAAAAGTCCTGCCTAAACTTTATTTCTAAATTCTAAATAATTTCTAAACGGTGCAAGATAACTAATTTATGTAAAAGCTTTCTGAAGTACCTCGATCCAGATGATTTGTTTCTGCAACTCAATAGGTGTGAGCTGCCTCCCTCCGGAGATGACATTGAGCACATACCATTTACCTTGACTGTAGAGGGCTACGTGTTTAGCGTCAGTATAATGCTCGATTGTGTCTGAAAATGCAACCAGAGTAGATTAATTGAGGGGTAGTGTGTAGGAAGATACATATCTGTTAGTTGCATATCATGATATGCCCCTGTTCTTAATACCGAATCATGTGTCGATCCTTTACGATGCTCAAAATGTCACTCATTTGAAACAGTTTATATACTAAACGATATGGCCGCCCATCATATTATTGTAGCATTACAAGCAAACAAACCTTGGACGAGTTGAGGAAGTCGGGTGGTACTGAAAGTTCTAGGGTACTGTTCACAACACAACGGCGCTGTTCCCATAGCGAATCTCTGAGAAGTGAAAGTGAAAGAGAAAGTGAAAAGCGAATCTCTGAGAAATTTCGACATTAAAGATGGCTGTTTTAGAATTCTCATCAGTTTTGCTAACAAAATACTGTTCTTCTTTTTAGAAACGATGAGTTGGTAAACAAATACCAGGTGATAATATCGTTACAATTTCTTACCGGAGCAAGTGTCTGTCTGTCGACATCGTTCTTGAATTTCATGAGGGATGTGATGATGTTAGCTAGTCTAGCAGAGCGGACGTGAGTTGGAGTAAACTGAATTGCGTCCTGAAAATAATTCGTTATTTAATATTGCCTGCCGTTTTATTTTTATGTGGCAGCGTTTGGCTGAAACATTCTAGGCGGCTGCAGCGTATACATAGGTGTAAGTGACAAAGATTTAAGGTAAAAAACTAAATTTCGATGAGAACAGATTTTGAGATTGTATCTTCGATTTTGTTCATGACCCAAGGAGGCTATCTACATCGTCAAAAACCAGGTCCAAGATTTTTATAATCGGATATAAAGAACATATATTAAGGCCTTTCTCAAACTTTTGCCCGGGCAATCTCTTCTAAATGATCCTCAGAACATATCCTGCAAGTTTCAGGGTAATTGCTCAAAAACTGTAAAAAGACTCGATTTTTAGACTCGATTTTCAGAACGCGCGATTGAAAAACGCTCGCGCAATACGATTACTGATAAGCGCGGACCTTCTAATGTTAGTATTAGAAACAACTAAAAAGTCTATTTCGAACATTTTTCATGAAGACCCCCAATGATTGATGTGCTGGGAAATCGCGTTATTAAGTTATTATTAGGTTTGACTGTAGTTCGCTGGTAATTTTTCATAATTTTGTTTTATAGGAGTATCTTTTAACTGCGATAGTGAATACCGGCCACTTCATAATTCAATATTCCCAATTACCTGAAATATTAAAATAGAAGTAAAAACATACGGTTTATTTCAAACTTCTCTTTTTAAAATACAATGTCATCTAATTTAATAATCAATCATGACCCCTAATATCATGACAACCTCAAGCTCACTCCCTTAACAAAGCTCGCTTAGTAAAAAGTACGTTGAGTTATTTTAGTTCCTTTATTTCCGATGAGAAAGATAAAATCAAATAGAAAATCACTGTATCCGTGAGACACTGAAAGATCACCCACACATGTGAATATGTCTACAGTTTCCATCAGGACACCGAGTGGTCCCAGGAGGACAGTCATCGTCATCATCATCACACCTCTCTCTGCACTCTCCATCATCACACCTCTGTTCTCCTGCTTCACAAGCTTTTGAGCAGTCCGTTATGACGAAGATCTTGTCTGTATTTTTACCATCTTTAGGCTTGTTAGATCCACACAGCTGGTAGCCCTTATTCTTGTTGTAGTAGAGTCCTTTACATCCTGGCGTCTCCAAGCATAGATCCTTGGCATCATCAAATTCCTTCTCGGTGAGTTGCTTTTTATCATCATCTTTGAGTTTTTTGCCGAGTTTCTTGCCACTTATTTCCTCCCAACAAAGGTTTTCAGTTATCTTAAAGGTCATGCGATTTCGATTACCATTGCATCCAGACCAGATAATGATTTCGCATTCATTGTCCGGTTTAGGAGAACCTTCTTTAGGGTGCCAACACCTTGAACCACCCTGGACCTGGAAACCATCACTAGTTTTAGACCATTTTAGTGCACTGTTACAAGCTCCGAAGGTTATCAAACTGCCACTCTGGTTGGGATTCGAGGTTGTAAGGCACAAGTCCGTGACTTTATCCTGTACGTAACCCTTGTCTGTGAGGCAGAACTGACGGTCACATCCAATATCTGTCAGTATTGCTCCATTGCTCTCTGAGTCATCTAAGTCTACGCATCTGCCTCCAAAATGTTTTATGGACCCGCATTTAACTGAATCTCCGACCTCAAAATCTTCTTTATCTTCATCTTCCTCATCTTCGTCATCGCCATCCCACTTATCGCACTGCTGATCGTTCCTGCATTCAAAAGTCGGGATAGTGGCAGCAGTATTTATCAAGCAAATGTTGTCCTGATCTCGGGACATCTTAATGTAGCCCTTGTCGCCCCAACGAGCCCCCCAAGAGTTCCTCACGTTCCAGTACCCCTTCCCGTACCCAACCAGATCCACAGCATGGTCTGCTCCTACCTGGCACTTGCAACCCTTATCTGCTTGACATACGTAGATCCCGGTTCTGTATGTAAAAAATGGCGTGTTCATCGTTTGAATGCCAACTGAAATCACGTGATCGGCTGCGACTTCTAACAAGCTGCTATCAAACTGAGGCAACAGTTTCCAACCTGTTACACGTGCTTTTTTCAATCCATTTGGAACACCTTTCATGTTACAGGGTCTGTCTTTGGCGACGTAATTGAAATCCTTTTCTAGTGCTAGCCGATCGACAGCTTTTACATAATCGTACGGCCACGCCATATGGCCACCTTGACATCCATCACCACTATCTATTAATTCTTGTGCACAGTCCAAACTCTCCTGGTCGCTGAAAGAAACCTGATCCCCAGTTTCTATGAAATAGTTTCCTTCTAGAGCTGCGGTTGCAGAGAAAGCCCAAGAACTTCCGCAGTCATTCTGGTTCTTGATGGGGGGCAATGCACCTCTTGTAACCCAGTTCACACTTGACGGCTGTTTATGAATTTCGAACGTTTCCCCCTGTCTTCTGCGTAGCACTATTCTTTTTTCTGTATCTAGTTTGGCCTCCCATCTAGAAATGTTGACTCTGTTCAAAGTGAGCATGTTCGCAATCTCCTCATTTGTCATGACTGACATGAAGTTCAGACCCGCGGTATATGGCAGTGACTTGTCATCGTTCACGTCGTTCACAATTTCGACTTGTTTTCTGAAGTTAGCCATTCTTTCCCTCATTTCACCCTTGCACGCTCTCTTTGTCAATGCCTGAAGTAATTTTGTGAGGATTGGATTTATTCTCAAAACATTACTGTATTGGCAAAAAAGGGGAAAGGAGCACAGCATAAATATACAAAGTTTTAAAAATAGCGTTTCTTTCTGTAAATACCTGGATTCCGTATTGTCCGTGGTATTTGTCGTAGGTTGAACGAAACATCGCAGGAATGTCATTAACATGATTCTTCCCCCGGAACGAACCCGAAACTATATTCGCGTTCAACAACAAAATAAAAGCAGTGAACATCATCATGATAAAAATAATTGTGGTAACGAAAACTGTGGAGATGGTTATATTATGGGAAGGGTTTATTTAAGTATGTGGAATTGTTCATACTCTCTCAAAGAAGGGAGGGTTCACATACAACGTCACAATTATAGGGGGATCGGTTGGAGAGTTTCAAATTCCACACAATAGCCATGAATGAAATTGCTGACGGAGTAGCTGGGGTGGGTCTGAATTGGCATAATATATGTGATTATTCACTGTAGTATAATACCTTTTGCATCTGACACTATTGGAACCGTTTGAAGTTCTTTTGTGTAGATAAAAGACTTTAAAGAGCCTAATACTGGCCAGGGCCTAGATGGGACAGTTTGACTCCACAAGCTAAAGGCCATTCGAAATTGTTTTCTATTGAGAAAATATTGCGCAAACAGCAAGTTAGCTTTAACAATAATATGACAATTTCTTCTACCGATCTGGACTATCAAACAATGCAAGAGGTGACCATTATGGGGTCGTTCAAATATTGCGTAATCAGCTAAGGGGGGAGGGGGGGGGGGGGTGTTTCCGAATGATTAATTAATGTTATTTTGACACAATAGCTATATGATTACGTAATATGTGAACGACCCCGGCCCTATTTGGATAATCTTTGGAGGAGCTAGTTGATTGCGAATCTCAGAGTAAACTAGGAGAAAGTTACGGTTATTCCTTAAATTGTTATTTCCTCCTCCCTCAAGACACACGGTGTCCTTATTGGCGGCGCAATATTTGGGAGTCATCTGTCACATAGCATTTTAGCTATTTTATTATAATAAATATAGAATTCTTTCTGTATGTCTGTATGTACGACCGCCCACGTGCAAATTAGATGAAAAATAGGAATTTGCACAGTAACCATGGTAACATTGGAACAAACGCAAGAAATACAACAAGCCTTGCAGCTCTGGCAAACAGTTTATCTGAAAAGTAAATCTTCTTAAAATTCTTCTGAATGTTCTTTTGAACAGCTTGACAGAGGTGAAAGTAGCAATTTCTCACATACCATCCTGGCAACTCTACATAAAAGCATTCACTCTGGCCAAGGACATGATGTTAGGGAGAGTCTGGTTTACTGCAGTCGATGTCTCTACCAGGGCTTCTGATATGAGGTTCTGTGTCGCCGAAAGAGGTTGATCTGCAGCTTTCCTTTTCAGGGATCTTAGGCATTCTCTTCGTTCAGGGGCTGCGAGGTCTGCTTCGTGGTTGTGGGTTTTCGTACTCAATCTGAGAGAATCGTCTGAGAGGGATAGATAGCACAGACACGGACACTTCGTAGGAAGTTTGTGCTTGCAGCACCGCCAGGAAGATGCGAGGGCTGAATCCTTGTTCTTCTTCCGGCCTCCCCTGCAGACGAGGTACGTCATACATTTGAGGTACGTTGTGACACGTGTTCAATTGAAACATGCCAGCCTTCACTTAACAGAATTTAATTTTAAGTGTTCTTGTGACGGTCTTCCAACGTCAAGGACCTAAACTTTGCTTTGAGATAATTTGATACTTATGAATGATGAAACGGAGAACTGCCATTGTTACGTAACACATTAATAACTTTAAGGTTCCCTTTTACGATTTTCACAAGTAAACAATCCATCAATTTACGCATTGCAAGATCTTTCATTCAAGTTAAAGCCAGATTTTACATGGTGATTACGATGGAAGGAGCCAAACAGGGGTGAAAATAATTTGTATCGCCAATAGCATCATTACTAATACTATTAAGCTAATGGAAGCCACTCCTCAGAAATTGACAGACAAAGGTGACCTAAGTGGGCCTTTATAAAGCGAGTTGTCCGATGGATTTTTCATTATTTTTGGTTTTGAAGTTGCACAGCTTATAGAAGACTTGTTATTCAGTTTGGGAAGAAGTACATGGTATTTCTCATTGCAGTGCTCACACTTTTCCTTGCCAACGGTAGCTTGGTGGTAATCAGATCAAAGAATTTAAAAAGGCCAAAAAATGTGTAAAGAACTGCATGGCAGCGGCAGAATGTGAGTCCAAAGATTGTAAGAAACAGTGCATAACGGAATGCTATCCAGGAGATCTAGATAAGGAAACTATCGAAGAATTTAAAAAGGACAAAGAATGCACGAAGAACTGCATGGCAGCGGCAGAATGCGAGACCTTAGACTGTAAGAAACAGTGCATGGCTGAATGCTGGCCAGGAAAAGATCTAGATAAGGAACCTAAAAGAAAGGAGGTCCACAGCCGCAACATGGAGCATGATAAAAGGATGGGAGGTGGCAAAAAGGAGAAAAAAGGTGGCAAAAAGGAGAAAAAAGGTGGCAAACAATACCAAGATAGAGAAATGAGGGGCAGGGACAAAAGGATTTCGCGATTATTTTGGCCAAATTTCGCGGTACCGCGAAATTTAACAGGCTATACATTAAACTACACATAAAATTTGTCGCGGAGAATGGGAAATTTCGCGATTTCGTACATGCCGCGAAATCCTTTTGTCCCTGATGAGGGGTGACAAAAAGCACGGTCCAGTCAAAAAGGGCCGAAAAGAATACAGGAAAGATTAGAAGAGGCCCAATGAGGATATGAATGATTCTCACGAATTATGTTCTTCATATTTTAAATTCTAGTTTAATATGCAAATATAAAAATTGTTTTACTTGTAAATTGTGAAGAAATTCAGATTGATGTGAACCGGGTTGTAAATTTCTAAACGGTGTTAAATTTAAAGTACAAGAAATCAATCGCGAACCTAAAAAATAGTATCGAACACGTTGTCACACTACAGCAACGCCATCGCCCTACTATCGTAACTGATCATCCTCAAAGAAGTGCCACCGGGAACAGACTAACCATACTGTAATTCAATTACAGTGAGAACACGTGACGAATCACTTGACAAAAGTAATTCCCCGGAGCAGGAGCTTGTCAGAACTATATTTCACAGTGGTTTATAGGACTATATCCTGGCAGATGTATATTGTATAGGTTTACTAAACATTTGCAACGACCTCTGTAGTCTGTACCACCAATACCATTGTTATGTTACCACCTTCAGCTCTCATGGCCTTTAAAACTACTCAAAGTGAAATGTGTTAAATTGATAGCCACTTTGCTTGGTTCTACTTTTATTATAATATACTCTGGTAATATTAATGGCATAGTAAAAAAAATGATATCCAAGAATTCAGTAATACTTAATTATTGATAAATAATCACAATTTTTTGCAACTAAATAATCCCTGCACAGTTTTAAGAATCCCATCCCTTATTCACTCAACCCGGTTTGGTTTGTTGAGTGATATTTCGTCTTTTTTCTACTTTATCTACGGTGATATCTTCAAGGCGGCAGCCCTTGTGTATTGTGTAATTATGTAGCTGTCTAGTGTTCGCACATGTGGATATGTTTACAAACTCCATCAGGACACCGAGTGGTCCCAGGAGGACAGTCATCGTCATCGTCATCACACCTCTCTCTGCACTCTCCATCATCACACCTCTGTTCTCCTGCTTCACAAGCTTTTGAGCAGTCCCTTATGACAAAGATCTTTTCTTTATTTTTACCATCTTTGGGCTTGTTAGATCCACACAGCTGGTAGCCCTTATTCTTGTTGTAGTAGAGTCCTTTACATCCTGGCGTCTCTAAGCATAGATCCTTGGCATCATCAAATTCCTTCTCGATGAGTTGCGTTTTATCATCACCTTTGAGTTTTTTGCCGAGTTTCTTGCCACTTATTTCCTCCCAACAAAGGTTTTCAGTTATCTTAAAACTTAAGCGATCTCCAGTACATCCAGAATAGATAACGATTTTGCATTCATTGTGAGGGTTTGGACGACCTCCTTTAGGGTGCCAACACCTTGAACCACCCTGGATCTGGAAACCATCACTAGTTTCAGACCATTTTAGTGCACTGTTACAAGCTCCGAAGGTTATCAAATTGTTACTCCGGTTGGGATTCGAGGTTGTAAGGCACAAGTCCGTGACTTTATCTTGTACGTAACCCTTGTCTGTGAGGCAGAACTGACGGTCACATCCAATATCTGTCAGTATTGCTCCCTTGCTCTCTGAGTCATCTAAGTCTACGCATCTGCCTCCAAAATGTTTTATGGACCCGCATTTAACTTCATCTCCTACATCATAATCGTCTTCTTCTTCTTCATCTTCCTCCTCATCTTCGTCATCGCCATCCCACTTATCGCACTGCTGATCTTTCCTGCATTGAAAAGTCGGGATAGTGGCAACAGTATTTATCAAGCAAATGTTGTCCTGATCTCGGGACATCTTAATGTAGCCCTTGTCGCCCCAACGAGCCCCCCAAGAGTTCCTCACGTTCCAGTACCCCTTCCCGTACCCAACCAGATCCACAGCATGGTCTCCCCATAATTGGCAGTTGCAACCCTTATCTGGTAGACAAACATATATCCCAGATCTGTACAGGGAAAATGGCGTGTTCGTCGTTTGAATGCCAACTGAAATCACGTGATCGGCTGCGGCTTCTAACAAGCTGCTATCAGACTGAGGCAGCTGTCTCCAACCTGTTACACGTGCTTTTTTCAATCCATTTGGAACACCTTTCATGTTACAGGGTCTATCCTTGGCGACATAATTGAAATCCTTTTCTAGTGCTAACCGATCGACAGCTTTTACATAATCGTACGGCCACACCATATGGCCACCTTGACATCCATCACCACCATCTATTAATTCTTGTGCACAGTCCAAACTCTCCTGGTCGCTGAAAGAAACCTGATCCCCAGTTTCTATGAAGTAGTTTCCTTCTAGAGCCGTGGTTGCAGAGAATACCCAGCAGCTTCCGCATTGTTCCTGGTTCTTGATGGGGGGCAATGCACCTCTTGTAACCCAGTTCACACTTGACGGCTGTTTGAATATTCCCTCTTTTTCTCTGCGTACTCTTCTTTTTTCTGTATCTGGTTCGGCCTCCCATCTAGAAATGTTGACTCTGTTCAAAGTGAGCATGTTCGCAATCTCCTCATTTGTCATGACTGACATGAAGTTCAGACCCGCGGTATATGGCAGTGACTTGTCATCGTTCACGTCGTTCACAATCTCAACTTGTTTTCTGAAGTTAGCCATTCTTTCTCTCATTTCACCCTTGCACGCTCTCTTTGTCAATGCCTGAAGTAATTTTGTGAGGATTGGATTTATTCTCAAAACATTGCTGCATTAACAAAAAAGGGAAAAGGAGCACAGCTTGAGTATGTCAAATTTTAAAAATAGCGTTTTTTTTCTCTGTAAATACCTGGATTCCGTATTGTCCGTGGTATTTGTCGTAGGTTGAGCGAAACATTGCAGGAATATCATTAACATGATTCTTCCCCCGGAACGAACCCGAAACTATATTCGCTTTCAGCAACAAAATAAAAGCAGTGAACATCATCATGATACAAATAATTGTGGTAACGAGAACTGTGGAGCTGATAATATGGAAGGGTTTATATAAGAGTCAGTCAATATAGTCTAACTCGTCCAAATAAAATATAATGCTGTTTGTACTCAGACCGTTTAATATAAAGCTTTATTTCATTTCTAAAAGAGACTTTGTTGTGGTTAAGTTGGATAAATTCTGCAACCCTTCTGGCACCATGAACTTTGACACCTTTCAAATTTGTCCCTTTGTTTTGAAAAAAAAACAATAAATTTGCCTTGACAATTTAATTAGTTGATTATAATTTAACTACAATTTAATTATAAGAAAAGGCGTTTTATTCTCTTTCAAATATTGTGAAACATTAAACACGTAGAGGTGTAGTGCCGAGTAGGGTTGGACATCCTGACGACAAGAGATTGATATCACAAAAGAAGCAAAGGGTAAATTGATAAAAACAAGAGATTAATATCACAAAAGAAGCAAAGTGTAAATTGATAAAAACAAGAGATTGATATACTACAATTTAATTATAAGAAAAGGCGTTTTATTCTCTTTCAAATATTGTGAAACATTAAACACGTAGAGGTGTAGTGCCGAGTAGGGTTGGACATCCTGACGACAAGAGATTGATATCACAAAAGAAGCAAAGGGTAAATTGATAAAAACAAGAGATTAATATCACAAAAGAAGCAAAGTGTAAATTGATAAAAACAAGAGATTGATATCACAAAAGAAGCAAAGGGTATATTGATAAAAGAAAAGATTGATACCACAAACTGTAGCGTAATAATTATCAGTAAATGTTCAATAAAAATAATTCTCGTGACTGGGAAGGTTTGTACGTTTGTATATTACGTTTGTATATTTTGGTTTTTCATTTTTGAGTCTTTGGTCTCACTTAGGCTAAATGAGCTATTTTTTGCATATTGACACAAAACAATTCTACATAAAACATGACTAATGGCTGTTTCGATCATTTAGTAATAGCTTACTGCTTAGAGCGACCACATGATAAGGTAGCTAACGTTGAAACGTTCATACTTCATGCCAAATGTTCTAAATGGCCTACTGATAAATTGTGATAAGAAATGAGACCAGTCTTGTTCCATAACACAACCTTTCTCAATAACCCCTTAATGTTCAGTATCCATTAAATAATATGAAATATACGTTTAAGGGGTTAAACGTATATTTCATATTATTTAATGGATACTGAACATTGCTCAGTGAGCACGATTATGTGCGATGTAAAATTTAATTTTGTAAGAAATCTATCTTGATTGGTAGAAAAATGTACATTTCAGAGCACGGACGTCCTGGTTTCAAATATCGAACATAATCGAGAATATTTACATTACATCTTCATCAGGTTAGGTTTGAGGCCAACGCCCAATTAATGCAGGAATGTCACGTGAAGGAGCGACTAAATATAGACCAGGCAGAGCGCGCGCGTCGCATTATCAGGTACGTCATGACGTCATGGCAACTATTCCGCGCGCAAGAAATAAATCTGTCTACAAAAATAACGCCGCGTGTTCCTGTAAGTTATCAATATTTACGTTAGAACTGCTACTTTCGTTTCATAGTACTTACCAAACAGTAGTAGTTGCTGTTTATCATAAGCGGAGATCTGCCACGTAGATAAACATACTGTTCCCACCAGTCACTCACCTGCAGGATAACTTCATTTGTTCTCTGTAATGTTTGCTGTAATTACCGGTGCAATTATAACGGTATGAAACTATCTGGCGTCAATATGATACCACTGTCAAAACGATATTTATATTTTTGACACTGATTTGTTTGAAGATTGTACGACCAACTTTCTAAGTGTAAACAGAAATCATTACATCGTACACGAATTGAAATGAAAATGTGCTCCCAACAGTAACTTTACTGTTGACAAATGTTTTTCCTTTATAAAATAGTACATTAAATCAGTAATTATCTTATTAATTAATTATGTCATTATACACGAGAACAACACGTTACTTACAATACAGACAAAATGTGTCTGCATAAATTTGTAGTTGCATAGTTAGCTCATAAACCTAAACAATAAACATGATTTGCTAATCTAAACCATTAGTGTAGTGTTAATGTCTTAAGAAAATGAAGGTATTCAAGCAATTTTAGTGTTGGGTATTTTCTCAAATCTGAGAAATGAACTTACATAATTGGAGGACCACCAGCTCTTGACCCACAGGTATCTCTGCAATCGTTTACCAAGACCATTCTTAAACTCTTCAGCTAAGTTTTGGAGTCTTGTGTATTCCTCGTCGTTCACAAACGGTCGAACAGTCAACAGATACTGCAATTATAATATTTATCTTACTATATATAAAGCGAGACGATATATGTTTATCCGTGCCATTTTACTGACACCACGGCATCAACTTTAACACGACCTTCCGCAAAAACCGTAAAATATATACAACTGAAACTTTTTTGACTAGGTCAAATGCTTTTATGCTTTTCAAATCAGCATGAAAAAATAAAAAATTGGCCAAGGAATAAGAATTTTAGTGCCCAATTTAACAATAATATATTTGGACAACAGATGACGGTTGTGAAGTGGGACATTAGTAGTAAATTAATAATTGTTTCCGTATACATCCTCCTACTTATGAACTCACTTCAAAACAAAAATAAGTGGTCGATTTGGAGAATAATGCCAATGGAAGCAAATGTTTGGAGATATGTGATGTTTTGAATTCCACATCGACTATTCGGTACAGTGCATTCCGCCTAAATAACTACAGCATAAAATGTAAACTACAGTTGTTGAAACATTCTTATACATTCTTTAGAGTCACGAGCTATAATATTTAAAAGAAGAGCAGCCCAATATTATCCCTTTTAAAGCGGTGCATGCAATTAAAAGCACGGTCACGCTGTTAGCAAACTGTTAGCTGGCATCTCATGCAGCTTTATAGCGTGTTTATTACCACCGCCTCCTTCTACAGTGTTCTATATTGTTCCTAATGGTTACACTGATTTACCAGACAGAAGATGTACGCTGATAGTAACGCGTAATAAAACGGACATATCGTCAACTTGGCAACGGCTGACAGCTAATTTACTAATTTAATGGGCAACACTCCAACAACGTCAGACACCCTGTGCCATCCTGTGACTACCATTCAATTTCAGAGCTAGCTACACGCTGGTCTGTCCGAGTACTCCAGAAATCAGAAAATGATACTTCCTAATCTTATTTTGGAGATCACACTCACGTTACAGTGATATATCCAGAGATTATTCCAGAAATACACTTACAGCACTGGTATGTGGCACCTGGCCACATTAACTATATCACACACTTATATTATGTGAACAACTGACGATTGGTATTTGACCGGGTGCGGTCACATACTCAGCGTCAAGTTTTACCCAGCTTAAATACAAAAGCTCGTGATGCTTATTGGTACTGTTATCAATAAATAACAACTGAGTCCTTTCTTATTGAAGTTAGGAATAGGTAGGCTGTGTATTGTTCTTAATCATTTAAAAACACATTCCCGATTAAACCCAATTAATAGATGTGGATTCCGGTGAGGTATAATTGTTTACTTTAATTGCGTGCTCGCCAGGCCAGGGTTCAGATGCCTATTTTGGTAACGTTACACGTGTGTTTTTCACAAGTAGAAGCAATATACAATAAATATGTAGAAGCAATTTGTTACTATTCATGGTTGAAAATGTAGAAGTAGCACGACATGTGAAAGAACGGGAACGTAGGTAAATTTAAACTGGCATCACAGGACATGGTTTTGGTATTGCTTCTACTTGTGAAAACAGCGTTCCATAACACACGTGTAACGTTACCAAAAGGGCATCATCTCTAAACCCTGCCGAACACGTAATTACCTTTCGTAAACAAATATGCCTCCCCTCCCCACATCTATGTATTTAACAATTAATTAACCAAATTAAAATAAAGAATCACTCACCCGTTTCATGGTATCCGCTACAGAAGGTACGGGTAGACTTGGCATGCAGTTCTGTAATGACATCAGTTTAGGACGCTTTCCCATTATAATCTTACAAGTCATCATCCAGGCTTTTACTCCTATCGACAATTTCCTGCGAGGTTTCATTGTTGTTGCTTTATTCTTAGTCCACAAGTACAGCTTGCATTTGCATTGGTGGATTCAAATATACATACTTTCGTCGAAAGATTAAATTTTTGAATAAAACATTTTTTTATAAAAAGATTTTTTGTTGAAATTTTGTTTTAAAACAATTGATTTAAAAAACAAAACTTGTGAACAAAAGTAAAGTATTATATAAATGAAATATTCAGCAATAAAGCTGTTTTGTCGTGTGTATTCTGTGAGATAGTGAGTCAAGTGTGCGATTATAAGTTTTCTGTCAACAGCGCTATGGATATTGAACGTATAATAATTAATGGGGGATTTTACTTGCTGCACAATACACCTACCATTTTAAATTTTAATGTGAAAGCGAAAAATAAGCTCAACAAATAGTCCGACCTATTGCACAGATACATTTAACTGGTATACTTTTATACCAGTTCATTACCAATAACAGTTTAGTGGTTAAAGACTGTAATTAATATGTATTGTAAGATGATATTTGCAAACACAGGAGGTGACCGGGATTCCCGGTTCCGGGAATCCCGGTACCGTGATTGGCAATTTTGAGCTATCCCGGTCCCGGTCCCAGTCCCGGTCAAGTCACATTTTTCATCCCGGTCCCGGTCCCGGTTAAGGGGGCAGGGGGGGGTCTTTATGAAATTTCTCTCGAAATTGATTTTATAGTTGTTTCTAATAGAGGGGAGTGATATCTATCTGCTACTTTTGGTCCCATGGAAAAATATTGTTCCTAGCCGAAATTATTGCCGGTCAAAGGTCAGCGCTCATGTGTAATTGTATTGCGCGAGCGATTTTCAATCGCGCGCCCTGAAAATCGAGTCTAAAAATCTATCTCCTCCTACATTTTTTGAGCAATCACCTTGAAACTTTCAGGATATGTTCTAAGGACCATTTAGAAACTTTTACTCTTTTTAGAATTTTGAGATAGGCCTTTAAAAATTTTTTATTTTATTTTGAAAATCTTGGACCTCTTTTTTTGACGATTTTTCCAGGTCGAAGATTTTCAAAATAAAGTAAAAATTTTTTAAAGGCCTATCTCAAAATTCTAAAAAGAGTAAAAGTTTCTAAATGGTCCTTAGAACATATCCTGAAAGTTTCAAGGTGATTGCTCAAAAAATGTAGGAGGAGATAGATTTTTAGACTCGATTTTCAGGGCGCGTGATTGAAAATCGCTCGCGCAATACGATTACACATGAGCGCTGACCTTTGACCGGCAATAATTTCGGCTAGGAACAATATTTTTCCATGGGACCAAAAGTAGCAGATAGATATCACTCCCCTCTATTAGAAACAGCTATAAAATCAATTTCGAGAGAAATTTCATAAAGACCCCCCCTGCCCCCTTAATTCAGGGTTCTTGGTCCCGGTCCCGGTCAATCACTCAAATTTGCCGGGATTTTGACCGGGATCTTTTACATAATTTCATTCACTGTGATTTTAAGTTTTTCCTTTCATTCATTGTGAATTTCATCTTTAAACATCCTCTGAGCTAAATAAAACAATGTTTAAAATTGCTAAACAAGTTTGAGTAATAAATTATGATCATGAATTAACCAGCGATCGACGGGAATTTCCGGTACCGGGAATCCCGGTACCGGGATTGGAAATTTTGAGCCATCCCGGTCCCGGTCCCGGTCAATTCACATTTTTCATCCCGGTCCCGGTCCCGGTCAGGCCCGGTAAATTGATAATCTCAGTCCCGGTCCCGGTCCCGGTCCCGGTCAAGTCACATTTTGTATCCCGGTCCCGGTCCCGGTCAGGCCTGAAATCATGTCCCGGTCACCTCCTGTGCAAACATACAGTTTATCTGTACATACAATGCTATAAACACGTTTAAATTTCTACTTCTATCCTATAATAGGATCGGCTTCACGGAAATGAAACTCCGAGTTATTCAATCTTTCGATCATAGTTTCGACAATCATGAAGACATACGAAACCAAGTTATTTGTTGATTAGAACGGAAATCACTGAATTCTCTGTTGCTTTTATTCCAAAGCTTGTGAACTTAATTTTAAAGCAAAAAAGAAAATATTTCACACAAAATAAAATAATTTTCAACACGTGAATCTTGATTGGTGCTAATAATGATAAAATTCATGCACACAAAACATTGATAGCGATAAAAGCAATCTGTCGTGCTGTCACGTCCCTTTAGCTTGATTTCATCTGTTAATCTTTAAATAACATTTCACTTACTTTATAATAATAATAATAAATAACATTTCACTCTATGACAACTACATAAGTTTTGAACGCGACTCATTTGAATAATTTAGTCAAGATAGTGTGTTCCATTTATCAGTGAGAATAGTAGTAGTAGTATTAGTAGTGAGAACACATAACAGGTGATTATATCTAACTAAACTATGATCTTATCACGTGATGTCGGGAAACAAAGCACGGTTTGCACTTCTGCTTTACTTTATTTTACAAAGTTTACTAATCAATATAAAGAAACAGACTGACACTGACGTCAATATGAGTTGATCATTAAGAATGTTCGTGTTATTGATAATTAAGTGCGAGGTAGGATCATTCACAAGAATCAAGTTAAGAATCTACTAATGCAGTCTAATAGAGCATTCAGCAACATGTGCTTTTCTAAGGGAATAAAAATAAAGTGTTGATCCATACACTGCATGATACTTGTAGTAACCATGTAGTTAATATACTGTTACATGGTATCCAGTATACACTCATTAGTTTGTATACACGATGTATACACGATGTATACAGCATGTATACAACATGTATACAACATGTATAATGTATATTATATACACCGTGAGTAAACTGTGAGTACTCTGTCTCTGTGTGTGTCTAATTGTATAAACACCCTACGCGCGTGGGGTGGACTCCTGGGGTGGACTTTTATTCAGCGCGTATTTTGTAGCCTGTTCAACTTGACGTTTTGATTCGTTACTATCTCAATGTCACAGATACACAGAATGTGAGGTGATCATCTTAAAGAGAAACGTCTCAGCTTTCACCTGGTGTAAAGTTTATCTTTGTACTCAAAATATAGCTCACTCAGTGTGCAATAGAAGTTGACAATACAATAACCACGTCTGCGACCGGTCGTCAGATACCGGAGTGTTGCACAAAATTGGGTCCCTAAATTAAAATTCTATGACACAGTTACCATGCAGAAATGTCTAGGGAAACATTTGGTGAAAGTTTCAACTCTCTACTATAAAAATAGCGATAGTTATTGAAGATAAACCGTGAGAAACTCCCTCTTGTCGAGATCAACGCTCTAGGAACCTCCCTTCTGTACCACGTGACAACGATTTGAGCGTCACGTGGCCGTCACGTGACAAAAGTGCGCGCATCGGATGGAGCAGTCTCGTGGGAAATCCTGATTGCCTGATCGATCTCGTGGGAAATCCTGATTGCTACGGAAAGGGCTGACAACCACAGTTATTTCCCTTCCTCAATTTTCCAGTTCACTTGCTCAGTGCTGTCAGTTGTTTTTTGTTTGCCCTGCTATATAAACTTCACTCCGTCATAATCCCCTACTCCCCTATCCAATGAACTGTTTCTGTTACAGCTGCCATTCTGTTGACTGGACCCTAACTTAGTCTTATCATTTTCACTTGATAACTTTATCCGTGTGCACTTTCTCGAAACTCAACTTATCTTTGTCAAGACTCAGCTAATCTCAGAACTAAATGTTGCCTTAACAGACTTACTTGTCACTGCACTGGGCCCTCCTTTAAATGCAAATATCATATGAGCAGCTGATCGATTTATTGCTTGAACTGTGCATCCTTTTTAAAAATAAATAAGGTCAATTTTACTATCGTGAAACTTAGTCACTGAAGACAACGCAATCTGGCTGTGCCGGTTCCCCTCTGCCTAGATCACTTAGAATATCCATAGTTAGCAATACTTTTATCGTTTAATGCAGCGATATAGCCAGTTATCAATGCTACATAGTAGATTTTAGCCTGTTCCAATCATCCTTATATCGCGTTAATGGAATTTATGAAATTGCCTACCGTTCAAACCGCTCTCTGTTGTTAGCACCACACTGATTAACTACGATGTTCCAATTTTTTAGAATTATGTCCGACATAATTCTAATTTTTGCTGTTACAGCAGATAATTATGGTGTAATGGCACGCAGGAATAAGTCATCCCTGTCCTCCAAAAAGCCCATGAAAAGGTATTTGGTAAGCTATGTCTTTTCCAATATCAAATCCAATGTATCACAATCTGTGGACTTTCTACTCAAAAACTAGATTGATTAATTGATAATTCATTGCTGATTGTTCACGCGCCCTGTATGGAAGTATATAAATGGTAATCCGCATACTCCAGGAAGAATTGAAGCAATCTCAAAAGAAAAGAAGGGAATCTGGATCCTTCGTCGGATCGTCAAAGAGCTTAGAGGGGAGCTCTACGCTTCACTGGCCATGCAAAGCAGGGAGAGTGACGGAGGCGGAGGCACTGCTGGCTGCTGGAACGGACATTAACAAGCTGGACAGAACGCAGTTTAACCCTTTCATGGACGCGATCAACTCAGGTAAATCATTCGACCGCCTTAACAATATGGGTTTATTGGTAATAGTAGCAAGAGGTTTTAGTCATGCGTTTGATTACAGCACAGTGTGAAACCCTGAAGCATACGTCGAGCTCTAAACTCTGTTTTGTCTAATAATCAATTATTTGAATATTGAAGGATTAAATTTGGTAACTTGATGATCACACAATTTACAGGACAGGTCGACTGTGCTAGATGGCTGCTGAGGCAAGACGGTTTAAAGCTTCAGACCGAGATATGGTCGTTTTGTAGGGAGAGGGTGCTAGAGTCATTGCTAACAGCTTAACAGAAGGTAAAATCCTGAACTTTTGTTCATTGATTAAAAATCACCATTCAGACATACAATCGTTCAGATGTAAAAATTATTTATTCACTATTTTGGATTACATTTAGTTACAGGACTAACATGCGACATCCGTCGTTGACCTTTGTCTTTAATTCAACAAGGTAGGGAGAGCGATCCATGGCTGTCCCGATAGACCCACTCAGACTCCTGCCGGAAGATACTCCTCCGGTTGATCCAGATGAGACAGTTCTAGCAGATGATCAGTTACAGACTGAAGAACATATCCCACAGATCAATGCGTCAACATCTGCAAATGAAGGTACTTCAATCTGCTCTTCTTGTATATGTCTTTGTGCCTGCGTCTGTGATTGTACTGAAGTGTACTCTGTGTGTTTGTGTCTGTGTCTGTCTTTGTATCGTGTGTGTGTCTCTGATTGTACTGCGTGTGTCTGTAATTGTAATGTAGTGCACTGAAGTGAACTATGTGTGTTTATGTGTGTGTGTCTGTGTGTACTGTGTCTGTCTGTGTGTCCGTCTGTGTGTGTCTGTGTTTATGCCTGTGTCTGTGTGTCTATGTCTGTATGTGTTTGTGGGTGTGTGTCTGTGTGTCCTTGTCTGTGTGTAACTGTGTCTGTCTGTGTGTCTGTCTGTGTGTCCGTCTGTGTCTGTGTTTATGCCTGTATGCCTGTATGTCTGTGTCTCTCTGTGTGTGTGTCTATGTCTGTATGTGTTTGTGGGTGTGTGTATCTGTCTGTGTGTGTGTGTGTGTGTGTGTGTGTGTGTGTGTGTGTGTGTGTGTGTGTGTGTGTGTGTGTGTGTGTGTGTGTGTGTGTGTGTGTGTGTGTGTGTGTGTGTGTGTGTGTTCTTTCATAGAAGTTGTTATTTCCAAGATACGAAGTTCGAAAAGCTAGCATTTAGTAATAGACGAATTTTGCAGCTGATATCAGAATCGACATGATGATGGTACTACACGAGATGCTCATGGAAAAGGTCTCCGTTTGCTTTCCTCCTCCCAAGAGCAGTATAAAGTGTGGGTTCAACTTTAATCTGATAGAAGATATCGTATGCGGAACCCAAGCCCGGCCATGTCTGTACATAATAACGAAAGAAACCGGTAAGTTTCTAATCATGTAAATGTTCGGCCGAACGTTTGCATTCATTTTAGACTAGTGACGAAAATCAACAATCGTTTGCCAGTTTGGTTTGCAAAATCGAAAAAAAATAGTCCATTCCCCATGGCCATGATATTAGAATTCTGCCCGTTGAAATCGGCCACTCTGATTTTTATCATTGAACTTCACATTGATGACATGTTCATTCTCTACAGGTTATGCTGCGAGGGCGTTTACCTCGATAGATGTTGAAAATGCCCACAGCATTATAAATCATTTGGACCGCCGAGGGGTCCAAAACTCCTCAATCGAAGAGCTTAGTAGACATGCCAGCAACCTACAGAGACTTCAAATTCTCAGGAAACCTCTCTAGGACGGTAATACATTAACTTGTTTAGTTAATAAATTTAATAAGTAGATTTTGAGTGATGATTACTGAATACAGATATCGAGCCTCGAGGTACCATAAAAAGGGTATATAAACTTATCACTTATGCTTATATGCTTATACTATCAATGAATATCAAATCGCCTTCTCTAGTTATCAAACCCAACATAAGTTAAATCTCTGCCTACAAGGACTATTTGATATTTAAAACAGACCGAGTGAATGTCTCAACCTTTTCAGGAAGCTTTATACTCCGACATCCACAATTTACCACGGCCCTGAGATCGACAAAGGTCTTTCTGATAGATTGACTTCCAGCCAATTCGATCTATCGAAGCCGAGTGGGAAGAACAAAGAACTGAAACCCCATGGTCGCAACGATGCTCCTCGCGGACAAGGGAGAGTTAGGGCCATCGGTGGTCACAAGACTGGATAATATTTATTTTTAAGCGTTGAGGTTGTCACGAAAGCGTACTGTAACGGGACTATCAGATTTGAGTGATTTGATTTTGTGATTTGCAGTTCACGTGATTTTATTGTGATTTTAGACTGTAAAAACTATAAAGGTTCAAGTTGAACTATCGTCGCCATGATTATGTATTTTGGAACTGTTCACGTTGAAATTGCTTCGTTAATCAGCAGTCTTCCTTGGTTACTTTCTACTGTGTAATGCAGCTACGATCAACGATACTTAGCTAGTACATTCATAGTAACACTAACTGCACTGAGAAGAGTAAAAAATTTGAGCTTTGACGGAATAACATTTCCTTGTTTTTAGATACGGTTACTACTCTAGTGAGGGGTTCATAGCTGATCATTAAGGTCTTACTCACAATAATTTGTGCTCTGATATTGGCCGTACTGACGGCTGTTGAAAAAGCCACTCCGTCAGATGCGCGCCGCAAGAGTCCACCCCTGTAGACCCCACTACGTACAAAATTTGAAATTTTCCCAAAAACTTCTGATTAAGCTAGTTTGTTTTCAATAACTTTTGCAATATTTACAGTAGACCCTTCAAATTTTCACCAAATATTACTCCAGACATTTCTGCATGGTAACTGTGTCATAGAATTTTAATTTAGGGACCCAATTTTGTGCAACACTCCGGTATCTGACGACCGGTCGCAGACGTGGTTATTGTATTGTCAACTTCTATTGCACACTGAGCGAGCTATATTTTGAGTACAAAGATAAACTTTACACCAGGTGAAAGCTGAGACGTTTCTCTTTAAGATGATCACCTCACATTCTGTGTATCTGTGACATTGAGATAGTAACGAATCAAAACGTCAAGTTGAACAGGCTACAAAATACGCGCTGAATAAAAGTCCACCCCAGGAGTCCACCCCACGCGCGTAGGGTGATAAAGTTTGTTCGTCATCTTGTCGGCTCTTCTCTGCCCGCAGAGGTCAAACTGTGTAGCTAATTAGCGTCTAATTAAATAATTAAAAGCTAATTGGCGTCCAATTGACTGACAGCCATTTTTCTGGTAATTTACCACGGCAGGGTTCGCTTCCCCGTCATGAGATATATCAAAGGTTCGGTTAGCTTATCAAGGAAGGTGGGCTTCGTCGTCACTGTCGCACTGCCAAATGATTGGATAAAAACTGAACATGGAGAATATCATTCTCCATGTTCCATAGAACCATCATTCATGGTTCTACGGATACCATAGTCCCCAAACTTTGAACAAAGAGATATTTTTGTAATTTTTGTAATTTCATTACGTATTGTAATTTCATTACGTATTGTAATTTCATTACGTATTGTGAAAAAATGATGTTTTTTTGATTGATAGTTAAGGTGAACGTTTATAATGCTACTCTGACACATTTGAACTTTGGGGACCATGCTGTAAAAGTAATCCAGCTGTTTAGTTTTATTAACTGAGGGTTTCAAAATCATCAAAAAACAGCAGTTTTTGTTAAGAAACGTTTAATATCATAAGAATGATTATTGAAATAAAATTATCATTACCAGTATTATTGGAATACTATCAATTGTTAATTTGAATATGAGCTGAATTATAATTTAGCGACTGATTCAATAAAATAATCCACTAAGAATAAATTTAAAAGTTTCAGGTTAAAACTTACCCATGAGGAGACCACATCCAACCCTGGTAAGTGAGGAGTAGTTTGAGGAAGTTGCGGAGGAAGAATGACCAGACCAGCCAGAGAAGTGTGGTACTGACTAGAGTTACCAGGATTGTTCTGGTAACTGGGTCTAACCTGCCAAATCTGAAGATATAATATATAAATATAATAAAATAACAAACCATCGAGCTAGATGGACGTTTACAATAAGTAATGAGATCAGACGCTTAATGAATTGACGGTCATATTTATTATTACAACTATAATTAATTAAACCCTGGACTTGTTTAATAAGTTGGATTAAAGTTGGTAAGGTTGGTTACTTAGTTGGTTACTTAGTGCCGCTCATTAAGGCCACAGGGGGGGGGTCCGAGGTCAATTTTGAGATTTTGAGATATGTTGTAGAGCTCGATCTTAATTTTCAAATGCTTTTGTCCTTACCGAAAACAAAGTTTCCTATTTGAAGATATCGCGCGTTGAATTTTGAGGTTTACCTGTAATTCTATTGTAAATGAAAACTTTCAAAATCTATCTTCTTTTTCAGTTTATGACTTAGAACCTTGTAACTTGGCAACAATGTTCTTCAAGGTATTTTGAGTTTTTGTTATGTAACCATTTATGATATCTTGCTCCAAAGCTGAGATATGAGGTTAACCATGAGTGCGGGTTACATAATTTACAAAATTTAAAATGGTTAACCTCATAAAAAGAGTTAGGAGCAAAATTACAACAATCGTTACATAACAAACTTTTAAATTTATGTCAGGAACATAAGTTCCAAATTTGAGGTGAAATGGATAAAAGCTCTAGGAGAAGATAGGATTTTGAGGTGGTAAATAAATTGTTCAGGAGAGTCAAAAGACTGATTCTGAGAAAATATGTTAACCTCAATTTTCCAACAAATAAAGGACATATAATAGTTCTGTTCACATTGGATGGCTAATTGATACCCATTGATAAGTTTAACTTGTGATGAGAGCAACAAAATGTTAAGAACTGGTTATTTGTGAGGTTAACTGATTAAAAAGGCAATAGTTAACCTCAATTTTACGACAAACTAGGCGCTCTGGGGGGCTAATGGTGGTGTGCAAGCGTCAGATAGTACGTGGTCTGCCAACTGGCAAAAAACGTTTTTTCGACCTCGGACCCCCCCCCCCCCCTGTGGCCTTAACATGATGAACTAGCTCCGATCACCATAATATATGTTAGTGGTGATGTTTATCCTAGTACCCGAGGGGTGAGTGAGCCCAACATGTTAGGGCCACCACACTGTATATCACGTGCACATCACGTGATACTACATTTCCACTTCTATATAGGGCGGACATGTTCCAGTTGTTTGGGAACCAGGGGACGTGGAAATAAATTTGAAATTGCACTTTTCCGTCAAAACGGTCAAGTTATTGATATCTTAGATTTTGAATTAGCAACCAATTAAAGTGAAGCAATATTGTGATGTTTACAATTTTGAAACAATACTATGCCCCGCCCCCCACGGTCCACACTACCTATCAGACAGCAATACTACTCTAGTTTATTGTTCAGAATAATTAAGGACACAATATCCTACATTTTCTTTAAACATTTGACCTTGTTTCATTGTATTGACAAGTTTACTACAGCTGCTGTATATTATTATTCAGACTCTAACATTTCATTAAGAGCAACATACGACATATTATAATGCAGTAGCTGTTTGTAAGGTAATTACATTGCCAAGTGTTATTTCCGCTTGTTATACTGAGATGGAGAGTTATTTCTTAGGTGCAGAATTAGTTCTGGCTACTGAATAGGATAGCTAGTGGCAACTGTGACTTACTTTACTTATTACTATGCTAATAACCGCGGTAAATTTAACATATTAATTAACTTGGCAGCAAAACTACACGAATTTGATATTTATCTAATATTCAAATTTAAATAAGATTAATTTCTATCTTTATGATCACGTGGTTGTCTAATGTCTAATGTCTAATGTCTAAGAATCATGTATGAAACAGAAGATTGAACTCACTGCGGTATCTTTTCCTGAATAACACTCTCAGTGTCGGATGTCTCCCCTAAAATCTGCATCGCTCCAAACACCACAAAGAAGAAACTCCACGAAATTCCGGTTGCTGGAAATACACTCTGAAATGGGAACCTGTTATAATATACCTATAATCTATATAATATATGTATTATTAGGTTGATAGTACCACAATATTACTTCAATTGCTAAACATCATGTGGTTACAGGTGTAGCTCAAAAGAGGTTCAAGTTGACACGTGACTGCCGCTTACCAATCAGAAGACTGAAAACAACTATTCACCTGTATGGCAGCATTTCGGGACTTGAATATCTTCCTCTTGATTACACGTTTAATGGATCTGTACACGTCATGAAGTATTCTTCTGTCCAAGTGGACTTTAAATTCACCTTCATCTGTTACTTGGACCTGAAAGGCTACTGCAAGCCTGGCTTCGGCCATTCCTAAAAACTGGTTTAAGTGTTATATATTACAATATTGACCAGCTAATTAAGGTTATAATATTACAATATTCCTCAGATTACAAGTTTCTAGATAATTAAATTAATTATGCGTGATTTGATTACATCTTTAAATTATTCCAGTTCTAGTAAGGATATGTGTTCAAGATTCAAGGTTGAGAATTTCCAAATGTGACTTGAGACTACTGTCTCGCAACAGAAAAAGCTTTCCTGCTGCTCTGAAATCATACCACTGAAACGACAAACTACAAATAAAATATGTACATATTATAATAATACAATGTATGTTGCAGGAACGAATAGGATCAACCTTCATAAAGTAGTAAATTTACATGTATTACAAGCACTTAGTCCAGTCTATAATATATAACATTGGATATGTACCGTCTCTTCGCATTATATAGTTCATGTAACTGCTGTATTTACGAACGACTTTTAATCTGATTTAATTAATTTATATACATTACATCTGTATTTATAATTAAATTAGTATTTATACATTATACACTGTACATTTGAAAATATAATTAAATGTATAAACGACTATGGTACCTAAATTTTATTAAAATTATAAGAGCATATCTCAAACTCCCCCAAAGCTAAAGGGAACATGGTTCTGAATGTTGGGGTCTGAAAATTGGAGTCAAGGATTTTTCAGAATTATGGTTTTAAATTAATTATTTAAAAGCACATATTACGGGTCAGGTACTATGATCACAATAAAATCAGGTTTAGTCTGCACTGATCGCCTATGATAGGCCCTTGTGTGTAGATAGTAGACAGTTTTTTTGGAGAAATCTCTTCAAGCTTAAAGGATTCAGGGAGAAGGGGTGCGAGAGATCATACTGATTTATAACAAAAAGGTAAATCTTCCGAATAAAAATACACCACAGCACCGCCAATCACCATATTATAAGTATAACATAGTTATAGTTGTGAAATAAAATTAAGTTAATCTGATATTACTAATAAATACGTTTTGGTCCAGCCTAAAACATCGTCAAAACAACATCAAGTTTTATTAGACGACCCATGACTCCTCATCATCTTCTTCAAGTTCTCCTCTCGGTTGTTGAAACATCCTAACATGGTGTTAGTTGTGTAGGGTGGGTTGGGTGCTCCTTCCATGCTCAAATCCTCACAGTGAACTGGTCCATCATTCCACATGAGATCAAACCCTCCTACTTGCTTCTCTTTACCAGATAATTTACCCTCCATATCTATTACTGTTAGAACGTCATGTAGCAGTTTGAACTTTAGATCGTAGTCTTGCTGGTTGGATGCCGTCAGGGAGGGTGATGCATTTATCTCCAAAAGCCATGGTTTTAATGATTCATCAATTAGAATATCATAACCATACAGTTCAAAGCAATGTTTGTCATTTATCATAATTTTCTGTGTACTTTGTAAGCTTTTGATGAAAATATCATCCATACCTCTGAAAAGAGTTTCAACAGCCTCAGGGCCATGTTTAGCAAGGAGGTACATACGAAGTTGAATCAGAGACCACTTGCATCCTTTTTCTGGGTCATAGTCCGGAGCAGTTTTCTGTATCGCCACATTAGTCAAGTGAACAAATGTATCTTCAATACTGTCTAAGGAGTATCTAGTGTTTGACATTCTTCCAAAGCCACTGCGATATAGCCACACTTTGAGTGGCATATAAGAAGTTACCAATACATAACACCTGATATCGAACTTTCTTCCTCCAATAAGGTATGGATTATCAATATATCTCTGCACAACATAATTTTCAACTGGCTCTCTGTCATCCTTTGTTCCGTCTATCTTCCATGAATCTTCCTTTTTCCATTCCATGATATCCTTGAGCTTTCTAAAGAGGAAAATCCCTTTCCCCTGTGATTTTGCTATAGGTTTCATGATCCATGTTGAATTTGGGCTACGCTTGAATTCCTCAACAAAAATATGGTAATCAGCTGGTAACTCAAAAGTTGTTGGGAAAAAGTCGCATTTTGCTGCTTCAATTTTTCCACTGTCTCGTTCTATTTGTTTTCTAAGCCGCTTCAAGTTTTTAGCCATGAGATTTTTTCGAGTCAACTCATAATGGTTTCGAAAATGATTAAGTCTCATGTGCTCCTCCATGTAACAGTGATCAAACACTTCCCTCATCCAGCCAACATCGGCCCAATAAAAGTCCCAGTCACCTGCAGAGTATTTATTTATACCAAAATCACTTACACCTTATACGAAAAAACGAAAACAAGAAGCAATTTTATGACTTGAATGTCCTGCACAGCATGGCAGTTTGAAGCGTCTTTCAATTACTTTTATTGTATTGCTGTGTAAATTTAATTAGAATTCTAATTAGAATGACATGTACAATTCGAAGAGTTTAATAAATCGTTTTTGACAGGAAACCTGATTCTTCTTTAACCTCCTGCCATCCTCTAGAGCGTAACACATCAGTAATAGTGTTTTGAAGTGTACACTTAAATCTGATGACACGATTTTCACCCCTGTTGGTTCTGTTTCTATTGTACATACTCCTGAAGCAAAGAAAGAAACTGAAGCAAAAGCATTTAGTATCAATAAATAAGTCAAAGAATAATATCTTTTCTCTATTCCAAGAGGTTCGATAGTGTATAAATGTCATCATAAAAGAAAATGAGAATACATTTTTTAACACTCCAACCAATCAACAATTCGCACCACTTTTGGTTTAGGTATGCATTATATGTACATCATCAATACTAATAATCCCAGGATGTGTGTCTGTCTCTCTGTCTGTGCATGTGTGGGAAATTAATTAATCAAGAAAACGGTAAGAGTTACGGGGCTGGTTTTATCTGTATAGTGCCCGAGAAAACTCTGACGAAGCCAAATTATGAAGGTTTTTTTAAATCGATCGGTGGTAAGTGGTTTAATTGATCATTTTGTGAACCAAATACTAAAGTGTGTGTATGTGTGTACTCTATCACTCTCCCTCTATCTCTCCCCTCATAATAGATTTGCTATATAATTAGGTAATTTGGCAGGGAACTCAAGAGTCAAGATTGCCTATCAAGTATTACTATTAGATATGTGAGGTGCACTCAGAATTAAATTGTGGTCTGTTTGGAATGAGCGAGTTCATACATTCGCACTGTTTTAACTACGAAAATGTAAAGCGTGTTTTCAAATAAAATTGGCAAGTTTATACTGCATTTTAACTGCGATAGTGAAGTCCCGGGACCCGGCCGTAGGCACGGGTTACACGTCACTAGTAGTGATCATATTGTAATATGAATTTCTGGATAAATCTCCAGAATCAAATGTCATGCAGAATTAAAAAGATTCAAGGTTACCGAATTGAAATGGTAATATTCAGTTAAATTCAATCATAAAATTTTGCAATCACAATAGTTGTCCTGTCAAAATATTTGATATTTTAGGAGCTATATGCATTTTAAGCAAGAAATTACATGTTTTTCGTCCTTTTTACACTCTTGCAATGCACAGGAGGCCCACATACACGATGCATGCATGAACCATACAAATTTGATTTACTTAAAGAAAATAGCATTATATTATAACATTTCTATTTTATCCCTACACATTTGTAAATGATTAGAAGCGTGTAACTTAAATTATATCAGAATTATAACTATTGTGAATTCAATAAAATAATTATCACTTTTGTATCCTTGTATCCTTGTATCCTTGTACACCTCGACGTTATTTTGCTACACGGTGAATTTGCATTATTCACACTTAGAGGCAACTTTTGGTACCAAATTTATCAAAATCAGAGACAAAATTTCTGTGCTCGCGCTTGTATCTTATAACACTGACTATAAAGTTGGAGGACGTCTGACGTCGTCACTTCGCATGCATCGTCCGCGGTTAAATTTTGAGTTGAGGTAAAAAACATTATTTCTGATTTATGAAAAAGCGCGGTTTATATTTCCTGAGAATGCAGTACACTCCTCAAATTGCACATGTTTTAATTACTTGGTTCAAACTTCATGAATTGATGACAAATATTTTGCATTGGATTGTATTTAAAGTCAATACATGCATTTATCATTTTTATAAATTACTTGGAATACTTTTGGAATTGTAGGTTTATAACCTATCAGGACGCGCGCCGAGTTGGACTCGTCGACGGTCCTGTTAATATTTTTTTTTTTTATTAAATACTTTTCAAATTTTACAGAGTACAGCAATAGATGAATATAAAATAGAATCGTTCAAAATATTGCCCCCATCTGTAAAATATGATGGGCACCCAAACACGGTAAACACATAGTGAACTATGTCCGCAGTAACTTGGACCCATTACATCGAATTAATCTAAATCCAAAAAATTATGAAAAACTATTTAATAACAAACAAATCCATGGTGAATAACTGTGGATATATAGTCAAAATTGGTATTTCAATACGTCAAATTCCAGATACATTAGATACAGGTCTGATATGGTCATTAATGTGTGAGGTGTGCGGGTGAAGTGTGATATGATGTTGAAAGTATAGGAAGGTAGATAAAAAAATTAATAAAACAAAAATAATAATAATATGGGGAGCAAAGAGACTAGGCTAGGCTGTTGTTTCACTATCCAATAAACATTTCCATAGATGCTTAGTGACCTCAGCTTTGAAAACACTTGTAGACACAATCTGTCTTACCTGTAAAGGGAGTCCATTCCACAGTATATGAGTTCTGTAGAAAAATGATTTTGCCAGTGGGCTATTTGAGGTACATAAGGTGTGTGAATTCTGACTTAACTTAGGTAAAATTGATGACACAATAGACAGACTGTCGAGGTGGCAACGTCTTAGTCGAGAAGTGCCCTGATATAAAGTGAGATAGTGAGGCAGCCATACAGGAATTAAATTGTTCAGAACTTTGTGGAAAAAAATAAGATCATTCAAGTCAAACTTTTGAGACAAAGGGAGAATGTCGACAAGCTTGCACTTTTTGACATATTGCTCAGGTGGATAACTGCGGCCCTCTTCAGACAGAATCCATTTAATAGCTCTCTTTTGGAGACTTTCTAATTTATCACTAAGTGATTTATTACAAGGGCGCCAGATTATGGAACAATTTTCGAATTGGCTACGAACCAGGGAGAGGTAAAGCGCCCGGCGACGTTTCTGATCAATGACAATATGGCCATCTCTTCTGACCATACCAAGTTGTTGGCAGGCCTTAGTATAAATTCTGTCGCACTGACTATTCCAACTGAGCTTAGGAGTAACATCGACACCAAGATCTTTTTCTAACTCTACATACACAAGAGGAGAGCCATCAAGATTATATGCGAATGGAGGAGATAAAGATGGTTTTCCTGAAACAATAAGCACTTTACATTTTGCTGGATGGAATCGCATTTTGTTTCTAAGTGCCCAGTCAGAGAGATAGTCTATATCCATTTGTAAATTGGTATTATCAGAAGATGAATGTATTTTACGCCAGATTTTTGTATCATCGGCATACAAAACAATATCAGTATTATCCGAAAGGCCAAGAGGAATATCATTGATAAACAATACAAAAAGTAAGGGACCAAGGATAGAGCCCTGGGGGACACCAGAATTAACTGAGAGGGTAGATGACATCTCATTACCAATAACCACTCTTTGGTAACGGCCTTGAAGGTAATTGGTAAGAAATTTGAGAAGTGTACCATCAATGTTATATAAGGTCTTTAGCTTATGAAGAAGGATATCATGATTTACAGAATCAAATGCCTTAGCAAAATCAAAATACACAACATGATTGATAATGTTTTCGTTAAGAGACAATGCCAGGCTATCACAAAAATCAACCATATTGGTTGTGCATGACTTGTGCTCTAGAAAACCATGCTGCCTGGGATCAAGAAGGGTACTTGTCAAAGAAAGCAGTTTACGTTTAACAATGCGCTCAAAAACTTTCATGACTAAACAAGTAAGGGATATTGGTCTATAGTTTTCAACCTCACTTTTCTTACCTTTCTTAAATATTGGGACAACATTTGCAAGTTTCCATTCTTGTGGAATGTAGCCGCTGTTGTAGGATCCACGAAAAATGCATGTTAGAGGGTAAGCTAAACCTACGGAACAATTTTTTAGAATTTTACCGTGTATGCCATCTGGTCCCTGGGCTTTATTTGAATTAATATTTGAAAGAAGCTTACGAACATCCCGATGATCGAAGTCAATATCAAAATCAACATCATTGACATAGGAGATGTCAGTGTCATAAAGTGAAGGATCCGAAAACTGGTTATAAAAGAAAGAATTGAAAAGTTCAGCTTGATCTTTGGGATTGAACCGAAGCTGTCCAGAATAACTAACACAATTAGGAATACGGCAGGAGTTAGATTTATACTTAACATGTGACCAAAACTTCTTAGTTATAAGCGCTGGATCATCACTATTAAAAAGATTATCTCTTATTTTGGCTGATGAGAGCCTCTTAAAATCTTTACGGCTAGTAACAAACTTTAACTCATCAGAAATAGAACCAGAAATTTTAAATTTAGCTCTGAGTCTATCTTTTTTACGGCATGAAGAAAAAAGTTCACTATCGAACCACGGGGGTTGGAACTCTGATTTAATAATTACTTTAGGAATATGTATATCAACTAAATTCATAATGCAGTCTTTAACTAACTTCCAAGACGAATCAGGATCTAGGCATTCTAGGACTTGCCAATTAATCGAGCATAATTCACGATTAATCATGTCCCAGTTTGCTTTCTTAAAATTATAGATTTTACGTTTAGGAGTTTTCTTACGGGAAAAGGAGCTTTTAATTGAAAAAGTGACAGGAAAATGATCAGATTTGCACACGGAATGAGTATCACAGACATTCAAGTTATCGATTGTGTTATCATAATTACTGAGAAGAATGTCTAATGTATTACCACTTTTATGGGTGGGTGATGTGATCAACTGGGAGAGAGAAAGATCACTGAAAGAATCTATGAAGGATTGCTCAATAGGTACGGTACTGGATGAAGATAGCCAGTCTGTATGGGGGAGATTAAAATCACCAATAACATAGATTTTAGGGGGATTCTTTTTGGAAACTAGCTTGCGAATATAACTAACTATGACATCATGATTAGGTAACCCAAGAGTTCCTACTCTATAACAAGTACAGATTACAATACTCTCTTTGTTAGGAAAAGAAATTTTAACGGCAAGCATTTCTGCACCTAGGCTAACTGGTAGTCGGGTTGTAGTGGCGTCGAGATCAGACCGAACAGCCAAAAGAACACCACCTCCATTTTCCCTAAACTTTTTAGGGTTATTAGGATCTTGAGGATGAGTCTTTCTCGTGCGGTCATTGCGGAAGATTTCATATTGAGAAGAAGGAAAGATTTCGTTGCTAGAAATAGATTTTTTGAGCCAAGTCTCATTTAGGGCAATTATGTCAGGCTGCTCTATGTTAGCAAAGGATTGAAGTTCGGAAATCTTATTACCATCAAGAAGGGGATGGGAGGAGCTTAGGTTACTGAAAGGAATGAGACCTTGGACATTTTGGTAGAGTACACATAGGGAGTTGGGACCTGGATTAAGCATAGAAGGATTAACAAGAGTTATCAAAAGAAAGTTAAGAGAGAAAACCCAAAGAATGAATAAAGAGACTAGACGCCTGAGGCGGCTGGAATACTTGACTCTATTCATCTTACCAGGGAGAAGAACATTTCTTATAAACCATGAGGAGATAATTACAAAGAAAAGTTTGATGTGGGAGCAAGCAAGAAATGGTATAAGATAACGTGGGCTGTCAAGGAGTAGAGAGGAATGAATATTAGAATCTAGGGGGAATACGGTGTTCATGGACCTAACCGTGGAGAGAAGAATTGGGAGAAAGTAAGTCATGATGAGAGAATAGAAGAGAAACATATGATTATGATAATTGTAGTTGATGTGTGGGGTGTATGGAGACTTAAATGTGTAAATTTTGTTAGGTATAAACGTGTTGATATGTATAAGTGCATTTCTTGACTGTGTACGAGGCCTTTTGCATGCAAAAAGACCTATTCTAAGTCTAAACGATTCATTGTCTAACATATTGGAAAATGGACAGTGACCGAATGTACCTGAAATGGGAGGCATAAAATTGAGAAAAAGATTAAATCAGAGATTTGTTTGAGTTTTAATTTTAGGCGCAACGTCTTAATCAAAATATTAAATGGAAGAAAAGATCAAAGATTTAAATTCCCAGAAGATTATTTACAACCCTGTCAAAACTGTGTTCGTTTACAACAAACTTAAGCCAAGTGGACAGTAAACCTACTCCTCTCATATTGAGATGAAGCCAATCATGGTATAGAAGTTCATTACATGATCTAAAGTCTCGAGTTAAAAAGACTGAGAAACAGTCTAAGAACACGCAATTATTATTTAGGCATAAGTCTTTAAGTAGATTATTAAAATCTAGAACATTCTTTGCTATGTAGGAATATAAACATTTAATAGGAAGACAACATTGGATAATTATAATTGCAGCGGGAAATAACTGCTTAGTGGTGTCAATTAATTCAGTGAGATACTTCCTAAGGAACTGAACCCCATACTTAGAATGTTTAATGTCATTTGTACCAACACTCAATATAATTTTTTCAATATCGTCAGCTTCTGCAGCTGCATGAGTTTTATGAAAATTATGAATGTTTTCAGTGATGTCTCTAATTTTTGCACCACTTTGAGACACATTGATTACTTTCCTTCCCCGGAATCCCAACTTATTTGTCCGTACGAATTTTGTCATTGACGTACCAAACAGGACAGTGGTTTTCCTGCTCTTCGGTTTTCTTGGAGTATTTCGGTAGTAAAGGGTTGGTGTTGAGGTGGTGGTGGGCGGCATAGGAATTGTAGTGCGGGCAATCTGCTCCTTGACTACATTTGTATCTGTCTTCGGTATCTGGCAGCGAAAAGATAAGCTATACCGAGTCCCCTTAACTGAGCTCTCTGCACGAACCTTGTGAAGACAATATTCCTGACACCCCGGTTTCATAATATACAAACTACAGTCCTTTGGGGTGATATAGCATTTACTGTTACATCGCTTATCCCCATTTTCTGGAATTATGTCGATGGTCCTCTCAGCTCCAAATGAAACTACATAAATACCTTGCGACTGGTCAAGAGACACCTCGTCGTCGTTGTGGTACCTAGTTGCACAAGAACCAGACTTGTACATGCTTGCTAGGCATGAGTTTAGCTTGCAGCCAAACTTGGAGTTGATATCATGCATAAGCTCTGATATCCCAGGATAATTTAAAATATCGATTGGCTCCTTAGTCGTGGTGTGTCCATTTGAGGAAGACCATACATATTCTTCTCCAGTCGAAGTGAGCCACTTTGTGGCAGTTTTCACAGCAGTTTGCTTGGCCATAAGTGTTTCAAGTTCAGACATCAACGTGCCATGTTGAACACTCTTGTTCTGAACAAAATCTGAATGCAACTCCAAGAAGTCCTCGCATTTAACAGAATTTCTCTTAAGTTTCATGACATTCTCAACACTGGCCTTGAGAGCTTTCAGCTCATTTAATGAAAACGAGTTTAAAACATTGGTAACAGAATTCAGATCCATAGTGATGTGAGGAAGAGGGAGGAGAAAATGGCGGTGAGGGAGGAGAAAATGGCGAAGTCAATACTGTAGCCCAGGAAGTAGATGCGTTGCTTAGGATACAAACGGTCACGTCATAGTCTCTTCTATCGCTTTGACATTGGGACCTAAAATTATTTGTTATATAGTAGTGTTGAAAGTATTAAAACTGAAACAACTATTTTACGAGTATCACTCGTTGATTTTGAAAGAAGAAAAAAAAGCTCAAAAATATTATTGTTTACAGTTTCACTTTTTTCTCCGTAAAAAGCACAATTAATTGAATTGCGTGAATATAGCTTTTGTCGAAATATTTATATATTTTGCATTGCTTCGCATCGACAAGATTGTTGTTTTGCAACTATAAGAGTTGACTTCGTTGATCAATTTTTGTTGTAGGTTTATAACCTACCAGGACGCGCGCCGATTTGGACTCGTCCACGGTAATATTTAAATCAAATATTTTACAAGTATCGCCCGTTAAAATTTTTGTCGAAAATTGGAAAACAAATTTTTTTGGAAAACAAATTTAAATTTTGGTATTTATTAATAACAATCAAAACATATCATATCATAAAAATAAAGCCACGCGTTGGTTGACTGCCTCAGTAAGGTGAATAATTTAAGCTTGAAGGTGCCCTGCGCATTTACAGAACCTTATGCGGCAATCATTCATGAGGACCTGTGAGCGCCAAAATTAATTTAAAGTTTCTAGAAATCATACATCACTACGAGTTACTCATGCTTTTGGATTATAAGAGTGCTGATTGTCAGGTATTTCATTCATTCATACTTAATCGGTTTAAAGCTGTATATTTAGAACTCACTATTGTTTAAACTACGAAAGCAGAACGTAGATAATGGACAATATACCGACGACAATACCAAGGACCCGAGTGCCGCATTGACTTTTCCGGATCCGTTTTTACCGAAGGCTTATCCACCAGTTACTCATGCTGCATGTATAGTCTGATAATATTTTGTCTTATCTCTAGCAAGCATTCTGTAAATTGAAGTGTCGTATTTATTATAGAAGAGCCAGCCAACCTCCGCATTATAATCTTTTGTATGCCAAGTTCGTTTATAAAATCTAATCATATAATAAGATTGATCCATTAGTCTAAGATGAACGGTATATCATAGCTCATCGTTATTAAAATCCGAATGGATGAATTAATCAAGTAATGTTCCCTTTCAACACAACTAAACAACAAACAAATGCTTGCTCACCAGTGGTGACGCAATCGTAGGGGCATGCAGTTGGTTCAGATAACTCTCACCCCGACGACGGCGTCGAGAAATTATCAAATTATGCATTTGCGCCATACTGGACACATTTTATATTTAATATTTTGTGGTTTGTAGAAATTAGTGTCATCTACTGCAGTATAGCTTAACTGGCGAGCAAGCATCGTCCCACTCGGCTGGGACGAAAATACCGAGTCCAATCACAGAAAGTTAACCAAAAGATAAAAACAACAAGAGCTCTATCTGACAAGATCTCCCACCATCACCCTATATTCACTCTTATTGAACTTTCCCCTGACTCTGTGCCAACACCTGATTCATCAGACAAAATTACTATACACTACGACTATAGTAATGCTAACTTAGAGAAGCTCTGTCTTGAAATAGAAAACGATATAGATAGGTTCCACCACAGCTGTAACACATTTGACTCTTTCGTGCAGTTATTTCAAGAAAAGATAGATTTGTCTTGCAAACTTCTAACTCCTAGAACCACTAAACGTAACAGCATAACCAACCCTTGGATCACCCAGGGCCTCATTAACTCCATCGACAAGAAAGCTAGGTTGTATTTCGAATGGAAGAAGACTTGTACATTAAAACTACCTGATGGGGATCCAAACAAGCACATATACTACAAGGAATTCGACAAGTTTCTCAAGAGCTCAATAAAGATGGCAAAGGCTATGTGCTATACTCAAAAATTCGAGAAGTACAGCATGAACTCAAAAAAGACCTGGGAAATTATAAATGAACTCCGTGGCAAAAATATATCTAGATGTAAAGACGATTTTGTCATAGATGGCCAGAGAGTTACTTGCAGACGAATAATTGCTAACAAATTCTGTGAATATTTTACATCTCTTGCAAGTAATCTCAATAAAAATGTACTGTCAAACAATAGTATTTCTCTGGAACCAGTAGAATCATTTGCTCAGTTTATGTCTAATTCGGTATCTGACTCCATATACCTGGAAGAAACTAATGAAGAAGAAATTATAGAGGTGATCCGAGATTTTCAAAATGGTAAGGCCATTGACATACCTGTAGTTGTTGTAAAAAACCGGCAAAACTCATTGCAGGTACTTTGGCTAGGCTTTACAACACATGTATACAAAGTGGTACATTCCCAAGTATTTTTAAAACTGGTAAAGTTATTCCTATTTACAAGAAAGACAATAAAGAATGCATTGAAAATTATCGGCCTGTATCAATATTACCTTTATTTGGAAAGATCTTCGAGAAGGTTATTTATAAACGCCTCTATAATTTCTTCACATCTAAAGGTGTACTAACAGACTCACAGTTTGGATTTAGAAAAGGCCATTCTACCACCCATGCTCTACACAAATCTATAGACTCCGTTACTAAGTCTCTGGCAAGCAATAAACATGTCCTAGGGATATTCATTGACTTGAGCAAAGCCTTCGACACCCTTGATCACGATATTCTTTTATGCAAATTAAATTCCTACGGTATTAGGGGCACAGCACTTACCTTACTAAAAAGCTATTTGACTAACAGAAAGCAGTATGTTATGTATAACGATGTACCATCAGAAACAATGGACGTGAAATTTGGAGTACCACAAGGGTCAATTCTAGGGCCGTTACTCTTCCTATTGTATATGAACGATATAGTAAACTGCTTTTCAGACAGTGAGATGAAATTTGTACTTTATGCTGATGACACTAATATCTTCATATCAGGACCATCTAGAGAAGCAACATACAAAAAAGCCAACTTAGTACTTAAACATGTCTCGATTTACATGAAATGTAATCTACTTCATATCAACATGTCCAAATGCTGCTACATACATTTTAAACCTGCCTCTGAATATGATGACACCTGTGCACGGACCAGACCATTTGCTATCCTGCTAGATGAATCTAGATCAATATTCATCAATGGTAAGGTTATTACTAAAGTCAAGGATACCAAATTCTTAGGTGTTGTTATAGATAGTAAGCTAAACTGGATTGCCCACATGCACTACATCCGTAAAAAACTGCGATCTATGACTGGTGCAATCTGCAGAATTCGGCACTCGATACCTTCTGAACTATATTTGAAAATATATAATGCTCTTTTTGAATCACATCTCAGTTACGGTATAAGTGTGTGGGGTGTTGTCCTCAAAGAACGGTCCAATGATAGTCTTTTAATCACACAGAAGCACTGTATAAGGATCCTTTTTGGCGACCTTGACTCATATTTAGATAAACAATCAACATGTGCACCTACTAGACCATACGGTATGCAAAAACTAGACCATAAACACTTTGAAAAGGAACATACAAAACCCATTTTTAATAGATTAAAAATACTTACGGCTCAAAACTTGTACAAATATCACTGCATCTTAGAATTTTCTAAGATTATCAAGTACCACTGCCCATACTCCCTTTATGAGACTATCAACATTTCAAACCGTGCAACGAGTCTCACGGTTATTCTCCTAAATAAATCAAATACCTTTTTGTTTAATGCAGCCAAGCTTTGGAACGCTGTTCATAAAAAAATTTTAACTTCAAGCAATTGCTTAGAAACGTCCATTAGCTTGATAAAACTGAGAACAAAAGCACTATTAATACAAGCACAGGCAGCTGACTTAAAAGATACTTGGACTCCAAACAATTTTAAATTGCAGTAATCAAGTCTAATTGCAGCGGCGCACACTTACTATTACTATCATGATTGTACTATAGACAGAAAATCTTTCAAATCGATTTTGGGCGCTTTTTAACCATCTGTTGGGTGAGAATCCTTGTCAGGTTTTACTGGTTCTTCCAGGGCTCATGTCTGTCCGCATTGCACTTTGTGGCGAGGCAGCATTAGTGTCTATAAAAGAATCTTGTGCCTAGCGAGGGGACTCGCAATGCCATGGTGGGCTATGAATACACCAGTTTAACTCACGAGGCAACTCGCAAAAGCCATGGTGGGCCTTGAATACGCCAGCTCCTCGGGTTACTATAGAGCCGACAGCGCTAGTGGGCCCCCTTATGTACCAGGACTCTACCGGCAACGATCGACTAACGCCCCAGATATAAGCAAAGATTGGCGCGCAGTCATAAACAGCGGGTGCGCGCACAGAACTGCTTCCCGCTAGTACCAATAACACTCACCTGACTCCCACGTGACACTAACCTCACGCCGCGGTGCGGTATTTCGATCATGACAAGCCAAACCGGATTAAACCACTTGTTAATATAGCCGTTCTGCTTGCCAGTCTCTACATTAATTAGCCCGCTGGGTTTTGCTGCCCCCCTGTTTGCAAATTTGCCGCCCCCTCGGAGAGTGTAATGGGAGTATCGCTACAATGTGGGAGTGTAATGGGAGTATCGCTACAATATGGGAGTGTAATGGGAGTATCGCTACAATGTGGGAGTGTAATGGGAGTATCGCTACAATATGGGAGTGTAATGGGAGTATCGCTACAATGTGGGAGTGTAATGGGAGTATCGCTACAATATGGGAGTGTAATGGGAGTATCGCTACAATATGGGAGTGTAATGGGAGTATCGCTACAATGTGGGAGTGTAATGGGAGTATCGCTACAATGTGGGAGTATAATGGGAGTATCGCTACAATATGGGAGTGTAATGGGAGTATCGCTACAATGTGGGAGTGTAATGGGAGTATCGCTACAATATGGGAGTGTAATGGGAGTATCGCTACATTGTGGGAGTGTAATGGGAGTATCGCTACAATGTGGGAGTGTTATGGGAGTATCGCTACATTGTGGGAGTGTAATGGGAGTATCGCTACAATGTGGGAGTGCAATGGGAGTATCGCTACATTGTGGGAGTGTTATGGGAGTAATGTATAGTAGTTACCACACCAGTTACCACACCAAACGTGTGTAATGTGTGTAATGGCATAAATGGACCCTGGATCAGAACCTGTATTTCCTGTGTCGTACAATATGATCCCTGCTCCTGTTATTTCTGGACTGAGTGAGAGTCCACCTCACGTGACGTCACAAACCCTCACGTTTTAGCTCAGCCACCAAAAGGCAGATAGTATCAATACAGTTCCCCACCACCTAACACACTATCCAAACGTTAGCACACCCGCAACCGCCATTAGCAACCTACGTCTCACCAAGTCTCAAGAGCCAGCATTACTCAGCACGGGCGTCATCCTTTCATGGTGTTGAGCGGCCAGGGTAACCACCCAGAACTTCCCTAGGGACCAAGTTAGTAAATCTCCGGAGGTGCAACCCCGATTCGGCTGATACCTTGGCAGGTATTATCATCCAGTGGCCCTCAGGGAAGGGGCTTAATGCAGATGGATGGACTCCAGTAGGACGCTCCCCAAGTGGAGGGTCGCCACCTCTATATGACGGTGGTCAGTGGGTGTCGCGACAAAAAAAAAAAAAAAAAAAAAAAAAAAAAAAAAAAAAAAAAAAAAAAAAAAAAAAAAAACCATCTGTTGTAATGTTTTTAGATACTAAATATCTAAATTTATAAAATTTTTTATCGGAATGAATTAATTGATTGATATTTAATAATTTATTCGGTAGGTTTATCTGGTATTGATATTGATTATATTGATATTGTTATTATTGAACGAAGCTAACTCTAGACATAGTTAATACTACTTCTTTTAAGAAAGGGACTTGGAGTATAAACGACCAAGTTTGCTTAAATTTCTATCCAACCAAGAACTCAGGAGGCAAAGGTGGGTGCGTAAACTTTTGGTCTGCACTCTCCGATCCTGTATCACCCTGGATTCTTCTCGACGTATCTTTGTAAAAGGTATATACCTTCTAGTCAATCTCTTGCTACTCCAAGTCCCCTAAGATATCTGATCTAAAGTTCGTGCTAGTTATATATATAGAAAATATACTTTTGTCTGCTTTAATTGATACTAAATAAAATTGTTGTTTTCTTGAAATTGTTGTTTTCTTCTTATTTGGACATCCCATTTTAGCTTTTCGTCAATAATAACACCTAAAAACTTGGTCTCTCTAACTTGCTTTATTACCGTATTATTCAGAGTTAGTATATATTCTGATTCGTTAACTGCCTCATTATCAGTAGCTGTACGTGACAGATTGAAGTGAATGTAGCAGCATTTCTTTATATTTATATGTAATAGATTGCATTTCATGTACTGGTGTAACAAACGGAGAATTTCGTTTGCTCTTTCATACAGTTTTTTTCTACATTCATCTACTACGAATATGTTTGTGTCATCTGCAAATAGTATGAACTTGCCCAGATCAGTTGTTCTAAATAAGTCGTTAACATATATTATAAATAGCAAGGGTCCGAGACAAGAGCCTTGGGGAACTCCAAAGAGAACAGGCAGCTTGTCAGACTCTTCGCCCAGTACAGAGACATATTGATATCTATTAGAGAGATAACTAGCGATGAGTCTATTGGCGTTTCCACGTATTCCATAGTTGTCTAGTTTATTAAGTAGTTTTTCATGTGAGATCGTGTCAAACGCTTTAGATAGATCAATAAATATTCCAAGTACATGCAGTTTTTTGCTAAGACAGGATTCTATGTAATTCACTGAGGAGTTGAGGGCATGGCTTCAACTGAGTGCAAAATAATTACTCGACTTATCTTTGATCTTGTAGGTTTATAACATACCAGGACGCGCGCCGAATTGGACTCGTCAGCGGTAATAATGGGAAAATGGAACAAATATTTTACGAGTATCACCCGTTAAGACTTATAATTATCCGACTCGACTAGACTTAGGGCGGCTTCAACGTCCGAACAGAGATAGTTTTTTTCCAAATCTGTCTATCCAGCATGAATTTGTTAATTTCCTAATTGCTCATGCTGACGTCAAGCTCCGTGTCCTTCCGAAGGATGTCAATTTGTAGGTTTATAACCTACCAGGACGCGCGCCGATTTGGACTCCTCAATTTGGAACAAATATTGTAGCGCGATGCACTACTGGGTCGTGCGCGCATCAAATAATGCTTCTCGCAACCACAGATCTTAAGCAGATCGGCGAAATGCGAAGGATTGACATCGTCACTCAAGAACAAATATTTTGATATATGTTTCGTATCCAAATATCAAAGATATTTTCCGCCTTCGGCGGCGCGCGCTTCACGCGCACAAAGTGGCATGCAACGTAGGTCAACAAATATTTTACGAGTATCACCCGTTAAATGTCAATATATGTAAGGTGCAGTGTAGTACTCCCCTTCGACGATGTCCTTGAAGGGGTTCCCGAAAGAAAAGTTGATGACTCAGAAGTTTCACATAGCCATGTGCCTACGCGTACTGCGTGACGCGCTTGTTTCACAAGTAGGATAGGCACATACAGATCAGCACACATAAGATGGTACGTGTGCGCGCGCGCAGTGCTGACAATAGCGTCGTATTTAACCCCGGGTGCACGTACATCGTGTGCGATGATTGGTATCTATTTGAGGGTTTATGTCTATTCCAAGAAGTTTTTAGACGATGAAATCAGAAATACAGGAATTGTGGTACAATAAGAAATTAGAAATTTTAAAAATCCTACGATTGAAATACAATTTGAATTACAACAGGATTACATAAAAATATAAGTATTCTTTGTATATTATAAAGAAACTAAAAAGCCCGTGGTCACACAAAGGAAGCTAATAGTATTCTTTTTAGTCAGTTTTTATCGCATCAAAAAATATCTGTCACGACCGAGTATACAGCCCATTAAAATATAGCTCGCAATGAACACAACGTATAATTACCACAACGTATAATTACCACAAAACCGATAAAAATGTCGTTTTAACAACTTTCACGTGGACGGTCGTACAATGTACAAAGATAATTCTAGAATTATAGTAGAGATAGTTTTACAATTTGAATTGCATGTAAATAATTTTCAAATGATTCTGTCATGAATGCTAAAAACAATTTCGTACATAAACAAATAATATGTACTAAATAACTAAAGACAATTTCATAGAAATGATTACGGAAGATTACAGATTGAAAGTATAAATGATAACGAGATTACATCACACTTCGTGATCCGCAAGAAACGGATTCATTTGCATAACATATAACATATAACAATCCGGTGACCGACAACCAATCCATCCGGCCGCAACAATCACTTCGCGATCAGTAAGAAATAGGTTAGATCTTTCAGTCCCAACATTGACTTCGTGATCAGTAAGAAACAGGTTAGATCTTGCAGTCCCAACATTGACTTCGTAATCAGTAAGAAACGGGTTCATTCCTGCAGGCCCAACTCCGACCGGATGCTGAAAAAGTACATGTTGTCATTGACATATTTACTCATCTGTAAATGTAATCTACTAATCTGTTACGTAAAACAGCAAATGATATATTTCAGCCCCTATCACTTGATCGTGCTAATATTTAATATGCGTAAGATACATTTTGTTCTTTACTACTGCCCGATCGGATGAACTGGGAAGTTAGGGGAGAATAGTGGAACTAATAATATTTTCACAATAAATGTATTTAATTTTAATTGCGGTTGTGAGTATAGTTAAACATTGACACTGAAATGATGCGAGAGATACTCTTTTGTGCTAATAAGGACATAAAGTGCTCGGTTGATCAGGAGCGAGCTTAGTGTGCAGTGTGAGCTGAAGACAATTTACACAAGTATTTTGAAAGCTCCTGCTAATAAAATCCTTTCATATCACTTGTATGTTTTAAATATCCCCCTCCAGGTTAGTGTGAGTGTGTGCAGTGCAGGAGCGACACGGGCGATTGTGTCGCTCCTACGCTACACTCTTAATCTCGGTTTACCGTGCAACTGCAAGGCATAAGGCAGAAGATTTTCTATTTCAAAGTTAGCTACTATACTATCAAAGAAAGCTTGTAGGATCAGAGGTTATAAGTTGGCAACATACAGCTTAACTGAATATAGGTAGCAAGTTTTGTGAGATGTGCTTCAGTGAGCGGAAATTAAAGTCACGACGACGTCGCAGATTGTGAGTCAGCGAAGCTACATTTACCGACTTCTAATCCCGGACCTTACTAAATAGTTAGGGCAAGAATTGCTGTTTATGGGTCAATCTGTGAACAAATTCGTAACAAAGGTTTGTCTACAGGAATGTGTTGTCCATGGTCCCAGGAACCACAAAAAAAAACCGTCCAGCTGAAACTTTTGGGCAAAAATTTTTATAGTCATTTTTCTCCAGGAACCCATACGCCCCACCCCTAATATTGGTTATTCGGCTCCCGAAGGTCTTGAGATCTCCATAGGGGGTGAAAAATGACCGCAATGGCCACATTATGGCAGGCGAATGATAGTTTCAGAACGATTGGAGCTTTATTTTTCGAAATAAATGGAATTTTTCGAATTTTTCTCAATTTTATTGAAATTTCGAAAAAAAATACACCAAATTATTTTTAACGCTTATTTCAAATCTATTTAAAAACTTATCTACAAATAACAAATACAGTTAGTCTAAAATGTGTATTCTCAGTAAGTACCATGACAATTATTAATACACAGTTAATATTAATCAAAATTCGCTTGTTCTTCAGGTTCATCATGTCTAATGTTTGTGCAGTTCATACCATGGCATCGTCCACAAGCTGGCAAACAATTGAAGCCATATTTCCTACATGAACATCTGAAAGTCAAACAGGCCTTTTCCACATCGACAGAACAGTTACAACATATAAGGTTCAAAATAGACTCTGGTGCAACTGGTTCGTAAGTGCCACCAGGAGCCAATTTCCAGCCGTAGTCAAGGGGATTCAGACTGTCAGCGTTAAGCATGACTCAGTTATGGTACTGTAAGTAAGCTCTAAGGATGTGCTCCGTTGCTGAAGCTATTGTTGGAGGTAGCCTATTCGGATTGAGACTCTTTTTCGCTACCATCCTATTGTATGCTAGGAATCTCAAAGCAGAAAGAGTCTTTTTCTTGTCACCATAAATGTACTGCAAGAAACAGAGGCCTGCCTCAATAATATTTTCTTTTGATTCTCTCACCGAAAGTAATGTTGCCAACTGAACTTGCTCATCAAAGGTGAGAGCTTTCTTTAGCACTTTAACCTTGCTAAAACCAAACAGTCCACTGACGCTATCACAACCTGAAATACTATGAATTAGAAGAAGTATCTCCTTTTCTTTATGATCTAGATGACTTGATATTTCTTTGATTGAATATTTACCCTTCTTCGTTGTTAGATAAATATCATTGTGATGGTCACTGTTGAAATGATGTACTAATAGACTTGAACTATATCGGTATCCTCTGCCTTCAATTCAACATCGCCAAGGAATGACATTTCCAATGTTTTCTTTGCAATTAAAGTATCAGCATCGTTACAAGCTCTGATCACTTCAATACCATTTACAGTAAAAATGCTTGAGATATAAGGTCGATCAGTTCTTTTTTGTTATTGTTGTTGCTCAGAAATGTTGTTTTGGTGACAGTACAAAAGGTGGATTTCTTTACAGCAATATTAGCACAGAACGCTTTTACTCTCCTCTTGTGCTCGTGATCTTTAGTAGAAGGCTCATATCCATCAAAAATCACAGTATAACTTCCCGATTTTTAGGGATAAGCTTCAAGTACTCCATTGCTACCTCACCATAATTGTCCCACCCTTTAAATGAGCTTAGTTGGTGAATTAGCCAACCTCCATCAATGACTAGTGGGATCGTGAAGCTGCAAAATTTAAGTGTAGATTGGTTTATACCAAGAGCAGCCTTATTAGATTTCCTCATCATCTGATATTGATCAAATAAGCTCATCGGCACCACAGTTAACTCGTATGTTAGGCATTCCTCTATTGAAGTCTCTCTATCAGCAACCAAGACTAGACGGTTAAAACACTTCAACGGATCGACTGCAACGCTTTTATTATTCACTTTAACCTGCTTTCTTAGTTGTGTCAAGTTCTTTACTTTACCTTTGACACTTATCTTATCGATGAATGTCAACCCATCTAGCTCACGTTGAAGGACAGCCCCAACGGCCAAACATTCCTCGGGATTCACCTCATCGTTCCCAGGCTGTGATATAAGACCAGTCGAAAAAGATATTAACTTAGTCTTATCTTCGGATTCTGTAAAGTCGACAGTAACTTTAAACCAAGTTAATAATTTTCCAAATACATCACAGTTTTTCTTGATTGATGACTTGGTAAGATCTGAGTGGATGGCAGCTTTAGTTGGTACTCCTCGCTTCGATGAATTAGCTAATGAATCTCCAAAAACTGATTTATTAAAGCCATCTGATTCAGGGTGGCCACCCATAACTTGTGAGCGGACTCACGATTACGCATCCTTCCACTTGTTAATCCACCACTAGATTTAGCTGCCCTCATAAGACTCTGCTCTATGGAGAGGTCAGTCCACACTCCGGCCCACTCGTGGTCGTTGTAACAAACCGTGTGAAGCCCAGTTACTTTAAAGGTCTTTTAAAGCGCCCCATACTTGACTTTAAAAATAGCATCCTGCTCCAAATACAGTCTTAAAGCTTTTGCATACTGTCCCCTCCCAGCTGCTGCGAAGTAGGGCAGCATCAAAGCTACTGCTGATAAATGCATATTGTAGTCGTGCAACCTCTCTGCTCTTATGAAGTCCTTTACTAGTGTTATCATGTTGTGGTAAGTAACCCATAGAGCTGCTGTTCTACTGTTTGAAAACAGGTTCTTTAGAAGCAGAGTTATTTTCTCTGATAGATCCTGAATAGATTTAGTCTTAAAGTTAACACCTATATTTTCGTTCACACATTTGTTGATGTAACCTTCCAAGTCTACTAGTTCATCGTCGTAAACTTCTTCCTCTATAATGAAACAACAAAGAGCGGCGTCGATCAGAAAGTGGGCTCTCAACGCTTTATAGTAAGATCCTCCATCCGATATATGCGTGACGTCTCCAGGATACACGAGTTTGATGAGCTCCTCTAAACCCGAGTCTGCCATTATATAGCCTATGCAGCCAAGAAAACTCGTGAGACTGTGGAAGCCCTCAACCCTGACCACAATAGGCATCCCAGTTTCCAGTACTATTCGGGTGGCCTTAAACCATAATGGCAAATCGAATGTGATTATCATCGGCTCACTGTAGGATAACTTTTAAAGACATTCAACCAGAGTAGCATGTACCGTCGAATAGCTGTCTGGGGGTTGGTCAATAATCTGTTGTTTGTTAGTTAACCTTGATATTTGTTAATTGAAGTTATTTCCCGAGTAAGATTTGAAATAAGCGTTAAAAATAATTTGGTGTATTTTTTTCGAAATTTCAATAAAATTGAGAAAAATTGAGAAAAATTCCATTTATTTCGAAAAATAAAGCCCCAATTGTTCTGAAACTATCATTCGCCTGCCATAATGTGGCCATTGCGGTCATTTTGCACCCCCTATGGAGATCTCAAGACCTTCGGGAGCCGAATAACCAATATTAGGGGTGGGGCGTATGGGTTCCTGGAGAAAAATTACTATAAAAATTTTTGCCCAAAAGTTTCAGCTGGACGGTTTTTTTTGGTGGTTCCTGGGACTATGGACAACACATTCCAGTAGACAAACCTTTGTTACGAATTTGTTCACAGAAAAATCAACTCTTGCCCTAACTAAAAATGTATTCCAATGAAATCGCAAATTTGGAAAGAATTAGCTACGGTAACAAGACATCTGTCCGACAGCGACTATTGTCCGACTCAAGTTATCAGAAAAAAAGACATATGTCCGGAATTGTGATATAATTTCAATACGACACATTTCCAATTAGAGACATGATCTGAACTGTTACTAGCTACTTTGTATACGTAACATTTCCAATTTGATATATGATCTGAGCTGAACTCTACCATAGTTTATTTTCATTTGATGTCGATATATTGGACGAATGTTATATATAAATCAGTTCAGGACATGGTCCTTCGAGCCTTGCTTGCGTCGAGGGGTAAACTGAAGATTGGTTGCGTTTTTGGATTGCGATAACTGATTCCCATACCGCTCTCTTATATGCACTGTAGGCTGTGATGTGATCGACAGCCTGTTACAGCTTGTTAGTGTACGGCTAGCACGATCCTGTCCTCAAATAGTCAATCACGTATCGATGGATCGGATCTCAATGGATCAAATCAGGATTAGGACAGTGGGAGCCACTGGGAGACCTTGGGTCAGAAAACTGATCCGGCCCCCAAGAGGGGTCAGATCACATCACTAATTAGTGACGTATAATTAGTGATGTGATTCACTGATTCATGGATTGAATATAATTGACACATAAATGGGCTAGATCTGGGGTAGAGTTCACATGTAAATTCTGTAAATCATAGCTGTACATTAAGAAGTAAACATGATCTGACTGCTCGACTCGTAGACCACATAAGGGACGGGAGCTCTTGCTTAAGGGGGGGTTCTCGTATCAAGGGATGTGAGACGTACTTGCCAAAGGCATGTAAGGGGAGTGAGCCGATCAAGTGTTCTTAGGTATATATACTGGAAGATAGAAGGTCGCATTCTATCAACAGTCATGCCTACCTTCTCCAAGTTCCTAAATGGTTTCAGAGGATCAAGGATGTCAACAAGTGCTTGATTCTGACAGATATATCTACACCAGGAAGAAATCTGATGACAGCGTCCTCTCCTCTGCTTGGCGTTGCCAGAAGAACAAAACTCTTAAATGTCCCTGCCACTGTTACCTCGCTCTCACAGACAACACTCTTTCCATTGGACGTAAACCAGATTCGGCTACCCCACTGAGACTCGAACTCCTTACAACGCTCAAGAGGAAGGCTGCAGAACAACCCCTGTCGGCGACTCAGAACCTGATATCAGAAGTCCTTGCTGATGCTTCAACAGAAGTAAACCAGACGCTACCTAGTCGAAGACTTCTCTTGAATTCGTTCTTCCTCCCAGCTGCACATCTACAAGAAGAGACGAACAATTTATCCTCTTTGATGGGAAGACTGACAGAGATGAGAGAAGATATTTCCCCAAAGTTACACCATACATATCCAGAGGATATGTGGGTGTTCTGGAATCATTTCGCCAGTATTATTCAGGATCCAGAGCTCCCTCGGAGAGGTTTTAAAGAGGTTTCAAAGAGGTTTCAAAACCCGAGTGAATCGCCCAAAGCCCTCTGTTCAAGAATATTTTCGTGCTATTAAGGAACAACAGGTTGTTACAGATTATCATCTGGATCGGCTTGCTGTTGGAAAGACTCCTTCCAAAAAGAAGAGGATTTCCAGCAGTATTCTGTACAACCTTTCTTCTACACGGCATACCCAACAAAGATTGAGTAATTGTTCGCTGTTGCGAAATACTTTAGTAATTATATTGAGTAATTTGTTGTATTCTGAAGTATTATATCATTAATCGATTTAACATTTTAATAACATTTTATAACCAACCAATACATTGTCTCAATTTAAAACATGTTCACTTCTTAATTTATAGCTTCTATGTACAGAGTTGTCATATGAACTCTACCCCAGATCTAGCCCATTTCCAGCTCAATTATATTCAATCCATGGATCAAATCACTAATTATACGAGACAAGCTTCAAGCTTGCATGTTACTTACTTGATGACGTATATGGTAGTCATATCACTTCTGACCCAAGGTCTGGCAGCCGTGGGAGCAACGTCACGAGATTACCCGTGAGCTTGTGAAATACGAATGTGATCCGAAATTACAATTGTGATCCGAAAGTCGGACAGATGTCGCCAAAAATTACTTCTGTCCGAAACCGCTAATTCGGCTGTCGGATAGATCATTAGCTACTAAATTCATGGCATGAAAAAAAGCATTAATCCTGTAATACAGTTACTATACCATATACAGTTACTATACTGAAAAAAAATACGGATCATATTCGTATTTCACAAGCTCACGGGTAATGTGGGGGGGGGCTGCTGGAGACGAAGAAGTTAAAATACGGAACAAAATCCGAGATGTTACGTGCAAAGGTTGAGGTTAACTTATAGCTGTAATTACTGGTAATAGTAATACTGGAATCACAAATAGCTCTTACTTTTTGACATGCCGTTTCCTTAGTAGTTTAAATAATCCTAATCTGGTTTGGTACAATGGTCCCTTATCATAATGAGATTAACCATTTCAAAAAGTTGCTCAATACGTTGTGCGAGTTGAATAAATCAATTTTCCAATGAATCACTTTCATTTTCCAGTTTTACCAGTAAGTACGACATGTAAGTTGACAAGTAAATACTCCGACTTTAGCTCGATAAGTCGAGACATCCCAGGAACGTTTCTCGCATTCAGAAGCTCAAACCAGACCACCCCCACATGTTCGGCAGTATCTAGATAGCCCGACCCCTGTCCGCGGACAACTGTCCACGGACAACTGTCCACGAACAACTGTCCACGAACACCTGTCTACCAGATCATGTTATAACTGCATAATAACAGTATCCCCTGAATCAAGCAACAGGTGTTTGTGAATAGTTGATTGGTTACCAGATCATATGACCGCAAATGTTATGAAATTGAATGGTATGTATGGTATCTTGGATGCAATTAGTTACGACTAGCATAATCAAACTATTGATTACGATTCAAATGTGGTCCCTTGGATATAATGAGTTACGAATAATATTGATTGTAGCGTAGTATATTCCTGACATGGTACTCTTCTGTCTAATGGACGAAATTAATGGACCCACGGCCTCCTTAGAGAATGCTCGAGACTTCCTATTCCAGAAAAACCTCCTAAAGAGCTCCATGTCCTGTCCTGGGTGTAACGCATCTATGTCCCTGGTTCCCTGCTCGTAAGGTTGCTTAATCGTTTCATAAGCCTTGACACCACCGCTGATTGAAATTCGCGTGCGATGATGTGAACCCTGCTTGATTCAGGGGATACTGTTATTATGCAGTAATATGATCTGGTATACAGTTGTTCGTGGACAGTTGTCCGCGGACAGGGGTCGGGCTATCTAGATACTGCCACATGTTCATACTTAATTAATTTCAATGTTCGCAAAAGTTGTGTCTTGCTATTTTCCGATTAGTTGCAGCCAAATAGTACAGCAGGTCGCAATTTAACTTTGATTCTTTCTTACAGCAGGCAACTTAACAAGGATCTGAGAATATTCCGGTAGAAACGTCTTCCGCCCCGAGGTAATAAGTACATAAATTTCGACTCGCGAGAGCGTACAAATAGGTTTTGACCTAAGAACTCAACAACCTGAAGTCTGTAGACTTTAAAACTATGCTCTACCCCACTTAATGTGATGATGCTGACCATTTTTATGCCCAAGATGAGCCCTTAGCTCCCATCAGAAGCTGAGATATCTTGTAATAAGTACATAAATTTTGGCTCGCGAGAGCGTAAAAATAGGTTTTGACCTAATTACTCAACAACCTGAAGTCTGTAGACTTTAAAACTATGCTCTACCCCACTCAATGTGATGATTCTGATCATTTTCATACCCAAGTTGATATCCTTTCTCCAATCAAAAGTGGAGATATGTGGGGTTAGAAATCACGAAAGCGTCAAAAAGGGCGTGGTCAATTGAGCAAAACTGCCCCATATTCAGAAAGTCTACCAAAGCCAAATTTGTTCCTCGGGGCGGAAGACGTGTCTACCGGAATATTCTCAGAACCTTGTCTAGTTGCCTGCTGTAAGAAAGAATTAAAGTTAAATTGTGACCTGCTGTGACTATTTGACTGCAACTAATTGGAAAATAGCTAGTAGTGGCCGATTAGTAGCCACTTTGTGGCTACTAGCCGATTAGCAGCCGGTTAGTAGCCGTCTAGTGACCACTTTTCAAGTGCCGGCTAGTAGCCTGCTAGAAGCCGGTTTGGGACCTCGAGAAAGTAGGTCTGCTTTAGAGACAAGCTAATAGCCGGCTAGTGACCGCCTAGTAGCCACTTTTTGGTCACTAGCCGGCTAGTAGCCTGTTAGTAATCGGCTAGTGACCACTTATTAAGTGCCGGTTGGTAGCTGGTTTCATGTAAAATATCTTTTAAGTGCCCGTACAGTGGCCATATAGACTATAGAGGCCGTATAGAGGCCGTATTAATAGTGGCCGCATAGTATAGGGGCCAAACCTAATCGCCCATTTTCCCCATATGGGAGCATATCTACTTACTTGGGTTACTTGGGGTTGCTTCATAGATCCTCTATCGGGTCATCAGAACGGCTGACCACCCGTGCAGCGAAGTTGCTGTCTTTTCTGCGCTCCAGTTCAATAACGAATTCCCGTTCTGGCAACAATATCCAGTAACAGGAGGTTCGTCCGGAATAGATGTAAC